TTTAATTTATTCATTTAATCATTTTTTGTTTATATATTTATTCATTCAATAATTTATTCACTCAATCATTCATTCATTCACTCAATCACTCATTCATTCATTCATGCATAACTGACCAATGGCGTCTGACCTCATTATTGGGATGAAAGAAAGGTAAGGATGCATTTAGAGATGCTGATGATGACGACGACTACGACGATGATAATGATGATGATGATGGCGATGATTATAGTAGTGGTTATGATGATGATGTCGATCGATGGTGATGATGATGACGATGGTGATGACATTTTTAAAAACCCGACAAGGCGTATGCTGTTTTCTTCAAAGATTTGAAATATAACTGAATATATATTTAAACAACATCATCGTCATCATCATCATCACCATCGTCATCATCATCATCATCGTCAGCATTATCGTCATCATCAAAAACAACACAAACATCATCAATAACAACAAAACAACAATATCATCATCCTCAACATCTACAACAAAAATTTATATGAACTAGTCAAGATCTTATTTTATGATATATATATATATATATATATATATATATATATATTTATTTATATTAGTAAATAATATATAGCCAAATGAATATTTGATATCTTTGGTTATGCCCCAAGTCAAAAATTTAATTATCATTCGATATTTATGTCTATGGTGGAGATGATGATGATGAAATGATGGTTAAGTTCATGATGATGATGATGATTTCGTTGTTGTTGATGATGATGATGATGATGTCATTGTTGTTGATGATGATGATGATGGTGGTTGTAATGGTAATGATGCTAAAATGATGATGATGATGTAAGTTGTGGTAATGATCTCTTATTAAGACGGTCATTATCGGAGTAGCCGATAATGTTTTGTTTGATGTAACGGTGATGAATAAGCACATGTGCACATTTATTTGCCAACACGCACACTCGCACACACGCACACACACGCACACACTACATACATACATTCACACATACATACACACACACACACACACACACACATATATATATATATATATATATATATATATATAACTCCATACATACCTACATACAAGCATACAGGCAAATCTACATACAAAAAAGAAACAAACATACAGGAACATACAAACAAACATACCAACAAAACCAACAAACACACAAACTAACATACATACAAACAGACATACATACAAACAAACAAAAACAGACAAACAAACAAACTTACAAAATTTCACACCTACCTTCTCGCTGCGTGTCAACAAATGATTGGCCAAGGTCAAGAGGAAAAAGATAATAAATAAATAATATGTCAAAAATGTTACCAGCACTATTTTTACTACTACTACTACTACTACCACTACTACTACTACCACTACTACCACTACTACTACTACTACTACTACCACTACTACTACTCGTACTACTACTACTACTACTCGTACTACTGCTACTACTACTACTACTACTACTGCTACTACTACTACTACTACCACTACTACTACTACTACTACTACAACAATACTACTTTTTCAACTAATGCTAATAATATTAATTTCACAACCATAGCTTGGTCAGCTATGCTACTATTACTACTGCTACTGCTGCTGCTACTACTACTACTATTGCGGCTAACTCTACTACTACTACTGCTAATTATTCAAACAAAATACGTCATAATTTTTTATAATTTGATTATTTATATAGCGCAAAATTATAAAATTGTAGCGGGCTAGTTCACAAGGGTCGTCTGAAGAGAAAGAAATATTAGAAACATTAATTATAATTAAAATATAAATGATAATAATTATTATTATTTATTTTTGTTGTTATTATTATTATTATATAAATTTTAAATTATAGTCAATAATTGTTATATAAATTTTATAAATTTTAAATTATAGTCAATCGTTATTTAATGTGACTGGAATACATTCAGCTGAACTCTCTCTACTGATAACTACACAAAAATAATTATAATAATAATAACAATTATTATTATTTTTAATATTATTGTTGTTGCTGTTTATATGTATAGATCACTTTACTTTAAATTCACTTTAACTTCTACTTTATGGTATTTCAATCTCCATTCATTATTTTCCATCTTCTGAGTGCTATTATGCTTTTAAACAAGTGACAGAAAACATCACAAACACATTCTTTGCATATAAATTTTATTTATTATAAGTTGTATAAATAAATATATATATATAGCAGTATAATATATAAGGCACTATAATAACTTTCTCTTTCTCTCTTTCTCTCTCTCTCTCTCTCTCTCTCTCTCTCTTTCTATATATATATAAAATATAATCGTTACTTTAACATCCTCATCAATAACTTTACAGCATAAAAACTATGAATATTATCATCGTAATAGGTATAACATGAATGTTTATTATATTAATGTTGTTATTGTTTGTTGTTGTTGTTAATTTCTTTATGGCAATTTTCGTATGCCTTCTTATTAACATGCTTGTCAATGTTGCTGTTATTATTATTGTTGTTGTTGTTATTATTATTGTTGTTGTTGTTGCCGTAGGGATGTACCGACTTGGTCGGTAGCTTGATATTCGGGTTCGATTTCTTTGCAAGGGTGACCAGCTCTTCGAGATTTTCGATGTAGTCGATTGTACTTTTTAAGATTTCAACCTGAATTTTTTTATTCATTTATTCATTCGTTCGTTCGTTTATTCATTCATTCATTCATTCATTCATTCATTCATTCATTCATCACCTTCGCCATTCTTTGGGCCGGGTTGGGGCAGGTTCTCCTCTTGAGGGCTTCAAAAGCCTCGTTCACCCTCTTCAACCTGATTGGTTGATTATTTCAAATTTAACTTTATATCCTCATTTGTCATTGGCTGCAGTATAAACGTGTCATTTGAATTTAACCAGCCGTCATTGGCTGTTTCATGATTGCGTCATATGAATGGATCGAATGCGATTGGTTGTCATTGTGCGGCTTGTTTGTGTGTCATGTGAAGTTACATGAAAGTGTGCGCGAACGAAAAAAAAGAAGAAAAAAAGAAGAAAAAAATGAATAAAAACCAAAATTACCTTCTTCTCTCTCTCATTGTGGCGGCCTTTCGGCGATCTGTGGCCGAGGTGGTCCGTCGCCGTCGGCAGCTTTTGCAAGACCAGGCTAAGCAAGGGTCGTCCGTGCGACAAAAATTTTGTGGCTGTCGCGACATTGTTGTAGTAGTCGTGTGTTTCGTTGTCGATGATGCTGATAATGATGCTTTTGATGATGATGATAATAGTTGTTTAGTTGATGTTGTTGTTGTTGTCGTCGTTGCGTAATGATGGAAGATGTCGTTGCTGCTGTTGTAGTTGTGTGGCTGTGGTAGTAGAAGTAACTGTTGTTGCTGCTGCTGCTGATGATGGTAGTGTTGTTGTCGCTGTGGGTAGTTGTAGTAGTAGTTGTTGATGTTGTTGATGTTGCTGTTGAGATCGCAATCATCACCGCACTCAACATTTTTGTTGAAGTCAATGTCGTCATCGTCATCATCATCACCGGTATCAAGGCCATCAGGATCGTCATCATCAATTGTTGTGATTGATAGTTTTTTAGTTTTGTTGATGTTGTTGATGTTGTTGTTGTTGATGTTGTTGTTGTTGATGATGTTGTTGTTGATGTTGTTGTGATCGTATTTTTGATATAAATCATTAAAATATAATGACGGTATGTTGTTGTTGATGTTGTGGCTGTTGTGGCTGCTGTAGTAGCGATAGTAGTCGCTAGCCGCGTTTTCTAGAAAATTCTGTTGACAATTGTTGTTGTTGTTGTTGTTGTTGATTGTTGGAGTCCATGTTGTGTTGTAAAAGTAGTCGCCATAGTAAGAAACACAATCATTTGCATTGTTGTTGTTGTTGTTTATGTTGCTGTTGTTGTTGTTGCTATAATTTAAACCAGGAAATAATAATGATATTCGAAAATTGTTGTTGCTGTAACTATCTACATTGTTGTTGATGTTATCTATGTTGTCGTTATTGTCATCGTTGTCGTTGTTGTTGATGTTGTTGTTGTGAAGATTTTTCAACAAAAGCGTGTTATATCCTGGTGGCGAATTTGTTGTTGTTGATGCTGTTGTTGTTGTTGTTAGTAATGTATCGCTAATGTAACTGTTGTTACTTTCAAGAAGATTGTAGTAATAATTTAAGTTGTTGTTGTTGTTGTTGAAAAAATGTGTTGTTGATGTTGTTGTTGTTGGTTTCTGTGACATCGAGTAGTAAGGAGAGGACGTTGTATCGGCGTAAATTGCTGGTGTATCGATACTCAAATGTTGTTGTTGTTGTTGTTGTTGTTGGTCAATACTTTTATTATCGTTATTATTATTATTGTTGTTGTTGATGTTGTTGTTGATGTTGTTGTTGCTAATTTTTGTCAACATCTTTGATATTGTTGTGTAGTTTGTGATTTATCCGACTGCTTTGGTTGTACTGTCACTGGTGTAGTCGTAACAGTAATGCTGATGATGAAGATAATGTTGTTGTTGTTGATGATGATGATGTTGATGTTGTTGATGATGAGGACGAAGATAATGTTGTTGATGATGATGATGATGATGATGATGATAATTATGTTGATAACTTTACTACGTAATCCAGCCAAAAATGTCCGTGTAGAAGACCTCTGAACAATGGAGTAGTCGGATTAGACCAAAGACAGCTCCGAATGGCTATATTGAATCATATATGGTTATATATATATATATATATATATATCTACATATATATGTATTTCCATATGTATACAGTTATATATATATACAGAGAGAGAGAGAGGGGGGGGGAGATTGTATGGTTTTAATGATTTATAGGTACATGTAAAAAATATTTAGACTTTAGTACTAGAAGAAGTAGTATTAGTAGTAGAAGTGGTAGTAGCAGTAGTAGTAGTAGTAGTAGTAGTAGTAGTAGTAGTAGTAGTAGTAGTAGTAGTAGTAGTGGTAGTAGAAGTGGTAGTAGCAGTAGTAGTAGTAGTAGTAGTAGTAGAAGTGGCAGTAGTAGTAGTAGTAGTAGTAGTAGTAGTGGCAGTAGTAGTAGTAGTAGTAGTAGTAGTAGTAGTAGTAGTAGTGGTAGTAGTAAGTAGTAGTCAAACTCCGGGTTCTCAGAATTATTAAAATTTGTGACAAACGTTATCAAATCTTTCGAATACCAATCAAGACGATGATGATGATGACGAAGAAGAAGAAGATGATGATGATAGCGATGATGATAATGATGGCGATGATGATGATGATAACAGTATTGTTAAGTTTGTTGTTGCATGTATCATAATGATTATTTGATTAATGCTTTATCAAGTGAACATTTAGTTTATTTAATTATTTAATTATAACTCGATTGATCGTAATTAATCAATTCATTCAATCAATCAATCACTCATTCATTCATTCATTCATTCAGACAATCAACCATTCAATCTAAATTATACCTGCTATTTCGATCAAATTACTTTAAAAAAATTAACCGACTAGAAAAACTTCAAATATCAAGTTTTATTATTATTATTTTTTTTTTATTATTAATAATTGTTGTTATCATAATAATATTTATTATTATTCATAATTTTTTCATCGTAATTATGATTAAACAGAAATTATACGGACTACAATCTTTCCAACAATAAACGAATTCTTCCTATATATATATAGACATGTGTATATATATATAAATTATATATATAAAGAATACAAACGTACATACCATGTATCTATCTTTCTATCTACAAAAAAAAGAAAGATAGAGAGGAAAGAAAGAGAGAGAGAGAGAGGAGAGATAACAGAGTGCAGTGTTGAATGCTATCATCACCTGTATTGTAGTATCGAATCGATAATGAGGCTTTATGAGAAAGTCGAAAGTTAGTGTTTAGTGGATGGACTGAATGAATGAATATATAAATGAATGAGTTAGTGTGAATGAATGAATGTATGTATGAACGAATGAATGAATGAACGAACGGAGGAATAAAGGAAGGAAACGAATTAATTTAAAAATAAAGAAATCGAAAAATGATTGAATGAATTTATCATTGAATGTATGAATGAAAAAAAGAAAAAAAATTAAAATATAAAAATTTACAAATGAGTGAATGAACGAATGAATAAATGAATTCACGAATAAATTCACTAATGAATGAATGAAAAGTTAAACATTGAACGAAAAAACAAGCAAAAACTGACATAAATTAAAATGAACAAAGTGATGGTATAAGATATCATTTAATGATATCTGATATTTTCAATATTTCGAAAATTCATTTTCCCAACTCTCTCTCTCTTTTTCTCTCTTTCTTCCTTTCTTTCTCTCTCTCTCTTTCTTTCTTTCTCTCGTTATCATCAAAGCAATGTTATATCTCTATCGTTTTACGATTAAATATAATAATAATTACACTCACATAGGCGCGCACACGCACACACACACACGAACACACACACACACACACACATATATATATATATATATATATATATATATACTAATGTTTTGTCTCCAATTTGATTGGCTGTTACGCATCGATCGATGAACCAATAAAAATGCAAGATTTTAAAAGATTTGAAATTCAGTAAGATACGATACACACACACACACACACACACACACACACACACACACACACACACACACACACATGCAACACACAAACGCATGGTTTTCAATGGTTTAAACATTATGTAAATTAACTACCTTAGTTATGATTGATAATGTTCTTAATACAGGTTTAGACGATGATGATGATGACGACGATTTACTCATTATCGTCATAGTCATCATTACCAACATCACCGTTGTCGTCATCATCATCATCATCAATCACTGGAGTTTATTTATTTACAATCTTCTAATGTTTTGGTGTTTCTTGCGAATGTTTGTTTTTACATCATCAACTACATCGGTCATCAAAAAATACATACATACATACATACATACATACATACATACATACATACATACATACACACATACATACATACATACATACATACATACATACACACATACATACATACATACATACATACAATCAAACAAACATATGTCAATCATTTATCCTTCCGGCCAATCAAATTCAAGCATCAGCATCTAAACGCCACTCCTTAACAACATCATAACTATTCGAAGTTTCAACAATATTTTTTTTGGCTTACATCTCAAATTTTCCCACAGTCACACACACACACGCACATACACAGCACACGTAAATATATTATATCCTAGAGCCCCAAGCGGATAAAAAATTTTCAAAACCGCCGGCAAAATTAAATTTTTAATTTTCAAAAATTTTCAGATTAAAAAACTTTGTTTTTTCGTTTGTTTATTCTTCTTATCATATTTATAAGACTTCTCAATTGCATCTACAAACGAAATGTGTGTGAGAATGTGTGTGTGTGTTTACTGGCCAAAGCTGAGTCTCTCTGGAGTCCAGGTTGATAAAGCCAAGCGAGCAGCTTCTACTAATAACTTCAGCAGATTTGAATAAACACAGTTTGCTGGCTTACTTAGGAAATTGCATGGGTTTTAACAAACAGTTAATACAAAAGATTTACTTGACTAATAAATATTTTTTAAACAATATAATTAAATCAAATTATTTAATTTAAAATGATCGTTGTCAATTTAAATGAAAATATAGCTTTTTGTTTAGACAACAGAGTGGCTTACTGAAGCCATGGTCGGCTTACTTGCTTACGAAATTGCATTGGTTTCAACAAACAACTAATACTAAATATAAATTTGACTCAATATGTTTAAAACATTGTAAGTAAATCAAATTATGTAATTTGAAATTATTTTTGTCAATTTAAATGAAAATGTTGCTCTTTGTTTAAAAAACACGGTGGCTAATCTACCGCTTAACAAAGCCATAGGTTAGCTTAATTACGAAATTGCAATATTTTCATTAAAATTGACGAAAATAATTTCAAATTACATAATTCAAGGTTTATTGGATAATTAGTTGGTTGTTTGATTGATTAGTTAAATGATTGATTGATTGTTTGGTCAGTTGATTTGATTCAGCGGTTGATTAATTGATTCATCTGTTGATTGACTGGTTAATTGATAGTACAGTATCAAACAGTATCTTATGGAACAAAGTAGTAACATAGTTGGAAAATCGTAGGTAGGCTAGGGCTTAACATTTGTTAAAAGGTTTCTAACAAAAAAAAAATATAAAAAAATTGAATTATACAAAAAGGCAAATTATAAACGTTAAAATATGTAAAATACGATACCTGAAACATGTAAAATTCCTAAAATTTAGAAATACAAACTTGTCGGTAGGTGAGATGAGTTAATCATTACAGGTAAGCTAGTAATTTTATTGTAGGTAGGTGACTGACTACTAGTCTTGCGACTTCTTACTAGTTTTTTTTGTTATGTTTGTTTTTGCTTGACACCAACAAAACATACATTTTTTTTTCGTCGTCGCCTTAAAGTTTACTTTTTTGAACAATTTTTTTAATAATGTCTATTTATTTATTAAATGTTGACTAGTTTTTTTAAATTTAGTTACATAATTTTTAGTATTTCTTGATTTACTTTGTGTATATGCATGTATAAATAATTTCTGTTTGGTATGTTGATTTAGCTATTATGATATGTTGTGAACTGATATCAAATAAAAGCAAAGAAGCCATATGTCTTTCTTTTTTCATTAAAATCTCGAAATTGTTTATATGTATGCTCGATTGAATGATTGTTGGCACTCCAGCAAACCTAGCAAATATCTTTTTTAATTAACTAATTTTTTTTTCGTTTTTTCATAATTCAAAATTCGTTCAATTGGTTCACTCATTGGTTCATTCAATTTGATTTATTGGTTAATTGATTGATTAGTCGATTGGCTGGTTGGTTAGTTGATTGAATGAATGATTAGTTGAACGGTTGGTTGGTTGGTTGCTTGTTTAATAAATGTTTGGATGGATGGATGGTGGGTTGAACATTCGAATTTATTGGTTGTGTGGTGTTTGGTTGATTTGATCACGACCATACTCTACCATGTAAATGTGCGTGCATGTGTGTGTTATACAAAATGTACGTGTTAAGTGTATCTATCTTTGATACTCAACACAAGTGTTATTATAACCATATATATACACATACACATATATGATACACACATACGTATATACAAATTAACATACAAATATATAGGTACCGTGCATACTTACATGTATATATTTTGGTACTACAAACATAAAATATTAATAATAATAATAAATCGTTTATATACAGTTAAAAATAACAAATGAAAATAATTAAATATCTTAACAATTAAACAAAACAGCCAATAATATATATATATATATATATATATACATGAATATACATATATATATATATATATATATATATATATATATATATATATACATAATAATGTTATAATGTAATATTAACCACTGATGAGATCAATTAACTATTAAATTGAAGAGAATAACGAAGAGAATAACGAGAATTAAGATATATATATAAATTATTAATATTATATATCAATTATTATTATTATTATATATTAATTTTTATTATTTGAGTTATATTAAATATTATTATTATTATTCAAAATGAACGAAAAACTCAGGAAAAAATATAATATTACCGAATATTACGTAGCGCGAAATTAGTACTGGCAATATCTTGCATTTCTTTTTGGGGAGAACCACAAAATGATGAAAATCCATAATAATTATATAATAATAATAATTATTATTATAAATAATAATAATAATATCATAAATAAAGAATAATAATAATTATTATTATAAATAATAATAATATCATAAATATAGGATAATAGTAAAGAATTGATATAACAGTTTAAGTAGTAGCAATGAAACAAACAAATACACATAGCACGGAGAAGAAATATACATATACATAACATATATGCAAGCACATCTATATAGCATAGTCACACTCATAAACACATACATATACACACACACACACACACATACAAACATACATACAAACAAACATACATACGTACATACAAACAAACAAACAAACATACATACAAACAAACGTGCAGTGTTTAGAGAGGAAGGAAGAGATAAGAAAACGAAAACATCATGTTGCTATTATGTTGAACGCCTAATAAAAACCTTTTGATAATATGTCTGTGTGTTTTCCTGTGTGTGTGTGTGTGTGTATGTGTGTATGTTTGTGTGACACAGAAGACACGTAAACACATATAGAGTTGAGAATATTTAATGAAGAGAATAAAATTAACAAATGACTGATTTATCAAAATCACCACCATTATCACCATCATCATCATCATTATCATCATCATCATCATCATCATTACCCTTGTCACAATCATCATGATCATGATCATCGTCACCATCACCGTCGTCGTCATCATCACCATCACTTTCTTCTGAAGACTTTAAAACGTCGCCTTAGGAAACAACATCTGAAAAATTTTAACGAATGAACGAATGAATGAACCAACGAATGAACCAATGTATAAATTATTATATGAATGAATGATTGAATGAATGAATGAATGAATGTTTTCTGATTAACTAAATAAAAAAGTGTAAGGTAGTAAACGAAGAACGTACAGTTCATCAAACAGTGTATAGATGAATGAACCAACCAACCAAACAATCAATCAACCAACCAACCAACCAATCAATCAATTAACCAAACAACCAGCCGACCAGAAAACCAGCTAGACAAGCAGTAACTCAGTCAAAACAATCAATCAACCAGTCAGTAAATCAATCAACCAATCAACCAACCAACCAATAAATAAATAAATAAATCAATTAATCAATCAATCATCAAACTTGGCTTCCGAGTGACTGTCACATTTTGCAGTAAATGGGTCATTCGACCGTATAGCCGTACCTTCTGTTGTGGTCATGTCCGTACTATGAAGCTGGTTGCGATGATGATGATGGTAGTAGTGGTGATGATAATGGTGATTGTGATGACGGTTATGATGACGACGAAGGTGAATATGGCGATGATGATTATCCAAATGATGATATTAATAATAATAATCCATTCCCTTCAACCTGATTGGTTGATGACTGATAAATAGGCGTGGCTTTGTTCTGGGGGGCTTTAATTTGATTGGCCGTCAGTACAACTGATGAGTCGTGTGCTGTTGTGTTGTTGCGGGCGACCTGCTATTGGTAATGGTGGTGGTAAAAATTATTATTATTATTATATTATCATTATTATTATTATGATAAAAAGAAAACCCACCATTCAAAACGGATCACCCATCGACCAATTAAATTAAAGGGCAATGATAATTGACTAATCAAATCACAGAAAAAATGGCAATTGGATAAAAAAAATCGAACAATCAAACCAGGCCACTAATTAAATCTGACCACACCAATCAAATTCAAACAACCAGCCAATCCAAATTAGCCAACCATAACTATCGACCAACCAAAGCATAGTAAAATGATAACCTCCACAAAATCGACCAATCATATCAAATGGACCAAATCAGATCGACCAATCATATCAAATGGACAAATCATATCAAATGAACCAAATCAGATCGACCAATCATATCAAATCGACCAAATCAGATCGACCAATCAAATCAAAGTACACTCAACTTACCTGTCTTGCCACCCAATCGAAATCCTCGCTAGTCCTCCAGCCATTCCTCAGCATGAGATTGATGAAAAGACTCTGCAGATATTCGTAGTCGGGCTCTTCGAAAAAGTCCAAATTACGAACGTAACGTAGGTAGGTCGAAAACTCAGCTGATTGGTTGATTGATTTGTTTTTTTTAGTTAATTGATTGGTAGGTTGATTGGTTGGTTAGTTGATTAGTTGGTTGGTTGGTCAATTGATTAGTTGGTTAATTAATAATTGATCATTTGGATGGCTTATTCGCCGATTGATTGAATGATTGTTAAGTTGAAAGATTGAGTCATGATTGATTGATTGATTGATTGATTGATTGATAAGGAAGAAACTGACTAGGCTGGCCCTGACACAGTGCTTCAATAGTCGTGTCTCGTTTTGTGTCCCCAATCTTCTGATACCTCTCCTTTAACGTGTCGGCCTTCAATCCTGAGTTAGGGATTAGTGAAGATGGCGGATGGTTAGCGAAAAAAAAACCAATAATTATCAATCAATCAATCAATCAATTAATCAATCAGCCAACCGACCTTGCCAGGGTAAACTTCCTTTTAAGAAATACATGAACATATGACCAAGAGCTTCTAAATCATCTCTACGACTTTGTTCTGTCAATCAATCAATCAAACAATCAATATAAATCAATCAATCAACCGGCCAGTCAGTCAGTCAATCAATCAACAAATCAATCAATCAACCAACCAACCAGTCAGTCAATCAATCAATCAATCAACCAGCCAGCCAACCAATCAATGAACAACACCCAACATTCCACCCATCAACCAACACATACCTCTACCCATATGAGTATTTATACTCATGTACCTAGCAGTGCCAGTCAAACTCTTATGCTCCCGGTAGGGGATATGCTTCCCCGTCACCAAATCCACATACTCCTTAGCCAGGCCAAAATCGATCACGTGAATGATGTCCTGCCGACGAGTCGACTGTCTGCCGATTAGGAAGTTTTCCGGTTTTACGTCTCGATAGATTAGGCGACGTAAGTGAATGTACTCCATGCGTTTTAGCTGTGGTCGTTGTTGTTGTTGTGTTGATGTGATGTTTTCCTTGTTAGTTAAAATCCAATTGAAAAACAAACTAATGAATCAACCAACCAGAAATCAAATCAGTTAGCCATCCAAACATTCAGAACATTTAACCAGCCAATCAAATAAAAACCAATGAAATCATCCAACCAGTCAATCAATGAATTAATCAATCCAATCAAATCAAACAATTATTCAACCATCTCACTAACTTATCAATCAATCAATCAATAAACCAGTCATCCAACCAACCAATTGAAGGGCGATCTTGGCAACGCATTTGGGCGTGAACTTTCGATCACAGAGGTCAAACAAATCTTCCAGCGATGGACCCAACAGCTCCATGACTAACGCATTATATTTAGAACAAGGACCAAAATAGTATACCATGGGAAAACCCTCTGTGATACAAACAAAAACCATAAATAGAAACATTACCTATAAATAGTAACAAGAGGAATTTCAAAAGTTCACCCTCTGAACCAATCAACCCTGAGATGTTTTGCTCTTACAAAATGTAATGCTTGTAATACTATTATATGAATATTCATTGACCTAAATGGTTTTTATGAATGATAAGAATCATTTTATTTAGCAGAGTGACTGAATTATCAATCTAATGTATGCAAAAATTAAGATTGTTTGCCTAGGAACTTATGACTATCCCTATCTACCATCCTTCGTTTCTATGAATATACAGTCTTTTGAAACACAAAAAGAAATGAAAATTCTGAATCAATGTAAAATATAAACGTTCTGTAAATTGTTAGAATAGCAAATAATGTTAAACCAATCAACCAATCAACCAACCAACCAGCCAGCCAACACACCAACAAACCAATCAATTGCTCAACCAAAAACCAATCAATCAACCTCTGCATCCTAGCTGTTTATAAAATCTAAACTCCAGATGAAGTTGTGGAACTTTTGACTTGACTGGCTCCTAAATTAAGGGATGATAATGAAAAAAATTAGGGAATGGTGAAGATGGCGGATTTTTATTCTTATTCTGTTTATCCTATTCTATTAAAAAATTAGGGAATGGTGAAGATGGCAGATTGTTATTCTTATTCTGTTTTTACCTAATATCTTATACACACGCAAACCACGCACGCACACACACACATACATATACATATATATATATATATATATATATAGGATTAAGACTGTCAGAAATGCAATTATTAATAAAAATTACAGCAGGTTCCATGTTGTTAGTTTTCAACTCAAGAAACTTGACAATGAATTGTGATCTACCATAAGAAAAATCAAAAAATTAAGCAGGTAACTAACTAATATGGAACATGCTAAGATTTTCATCAATAATTATATATATATTATATTATATATATAATATTAATCCATTGTATACATAATATGCCTACAAATCATCAAGAAATATGATATTATTAATAATTCATATAACATCACAAAGGTCATAGAACACATTATTTCATGTTTTTTACTTATTCTTATATTAATTTATTAAATTTATTATTGGAGCTTATATATTTTTTATAAATAAATTGTTATACAAATTAATCAAATAGACTTATAAAAAATATATGTATATTGAATAAGATCACAGTAATTTTTACTAACCATTTTAATGGCAACATGTTCATTGGTGTACAGATTTTTCCCTAACCTCAATTCGCCAAAGTTACCACTGCCTATTTTTTTCCCAACTCGAAAGTTAGGACCCACTTTTAGAACGGTATCTTGCTGGTTAACACCACTACTACTAATATTATTATTATTATTAGATGATACTAGTTGGGTTGCATTTTGATTGATGGCCGACGTGACTATTGGTTTTTTACTAATTGGCATCTGTTCAGTCATCATTATGTTCTCCATTTTCTCATTTTCTATCAACAATTTTGCCATCAAAAAAGATAAAATAAAAATTAAAAAAACGACGATTTTGAAGTTTTATTATTTCAATATCGGACATTTTTTTAAAGCAAAAAACATGTCAAATTAGGCTGTCTAATTATAATTATAACTAGATACAAAAATAATTAGATTAGATTTATTTACTTTAAAATTTAAAATTCAAATTCAAAAAATAAAAATTGAAAACTTATTCAAGTTTTTGACCTAAATAAAGCCAGAGTTAATATCTTGAGTAAAATGTTTTCAAATAAAATTTAACAACCTAATTTAGCGAATTTTAAAAGACGAATTTCTAATTGAACCGATTGACTGTCTATATAAAATTTCTAAAATGTGTTTTTTTACGAAATTAGCTCAGTATTGCTTGTGAACAATGAAAATATGGAAAACTTTAATATGACAACTTGTTTGAAAAAATAAATCTGCGAAATAATGACATTTTGTGATATTTTGAAAAACCGACTAACAAAAATAATGTACACAATGTATAATATTTAATTACATTTTTTTTACTTACATGAGAGGTTTGAAGTTTTAAATTAAGTAATATTATGAATTTTAAGTGTTTTTTCAAGCACTGCGTGTGGAATAACTAATATTTTTTCTTTGGTTTTTTTCTATATAAACTCCAAACACTGAGCGATCGCCATTATATCTCGACTGAGTCGAGTTCTTCTTTTGGTTGGAAAGCTGGTCTTTAATCCGGCAGATTAGTTAGTTGAAGGTCTAAAATTAAAGATAAAAAAATGGCTTACCACGATTCGGTAGTGCCAAAAAGGGAGGTAAAGAGGATGCAGTTCGGCATTTTGAGTCCAGATGAGATTGTGAGAATCTTTTTTTGTCTTGTTTTTGTTTATATTACGTCTCTGTCTTCTTTTTTTAAAAATTTAAACAGGTTGATTTATTTCTTTTTGTGGATTATTGTTTTTAAGATTAGATTAGACATTAGAGTTTGATCCAGTAAGTTTTTGACTTCATTTTCCATTTTTGTTACCTTGCTTTTCTCACTAAAAAAAAGTAAAATAATAAAATAAACCATACCATAAAATAAATTTTCATAATAAATTTCAAGCTTCGAATGTCAGTGACTGACGATGGTGGAATAAAATATCCTGAAACAACAGAAGGGGGACGCCCCAAATTAGGTGGGCTGATGGACCCCCGACAAGGTGTGGTCGACAGAACATCAAGATGTCTGACCTGTGCTGGAAACATGGCTGAATGCCCTGGTCACTTTGGTCATATTGAACTTTCAAAACCAGTTTTCCATGTACCATTCATAACAAAGATCATAAAAATTTTAAGATGTGTCTGCTATTATTGTTCTAGATTGCTTGTTGATCCAGTTAGTATTATATATGTATATATATATGTGTGTGTCTGTGTGTGTGGCTGTATGTATTTGTATGTGAATGTGTGTTTTTATGTTTATGTATATATAATTACATTTTAAAAAGAGTTTCATATGCTTTCATGTTAGAGGTTGGCTTGCATTTGTACATTATTTTTTAATGGTACTTTTTCATATTTGTTCATAATTGACAACAATAGTGATGTTTAAATCCAGGAGCTTTTAAATTTAGAGGATTGTAAATCATTATATTAAATTCTTCTACATATTAAATAACCAATGATATGAATCATACCTTCAAAAACCTTCCAAATCAGAACCACCCAAAGGTGAAAGAAATATTAATTAAAACCAAAGGTCAACTAAGAAGAAGGCAGGGTTATGTATATGACCTCTGTAAAGTCAAGAACGTCTGTGATGGTGGGGAGGTAGATAAGAAGGATGATGATGCTGACCCTGATAAGGAAAACAGAAAGGTCAGTTAGGGCACGTATATTTAGCCTACTTGTATGCATTCTCATTATATTCTGCATACCTTATTATGATATGTGCTTGATAATATTCATACAAGTCTACACACCTCATTATTATAAGGATATGCACATAATACTGATTTAGGTACAAGTGGGGTGCGGTCGCAATCAGCCAAAGATAAGAAGGATCGGCCTGGAGTTAACAGCTGAATGGAAGCATGTTAATGATGATAACCAAGAAAAAAAAGTTATTCATTTTTTTTATTTTTTAAATTATCTTTATTAGTGTCAACTTTAAAATTTTAATTTAATGATATTTTAATAAACTTTATTGCTATCATTTTTAGATATACAACCTCCTTAACATTCTCCCACTTGACTGTTTTCCAGATTGCTCTGACAGCTGAACGTGTTCTTGAAATATTCAAGGCCATCTCTGATGAGACATGCATCATTTTAGGCATGGACCACAGGTTCGCTCGTCCTGATTGGATGGTTGCAACTATCTTGCCCGTGCCCCCTCTGCCCGTCAGGCCGGCCGTTGTCATGTTTGGCTCTGCCAGGAATCAGGTGAACTTTCTAGATTGTTGGGCTTGAAAAGTTAATTAAAATTTTAGATGTTGGAATTATTTCAGAGTTTCAAATGCGAATCTTTCAAGAAAGAAAATGTTTATGATTTTTCGTCAATAAACAATATTATAACCTGATAAAATAAAATTAAACCCATGACCTGAAAATTCAAAACTAAAATAACTAGGACGACTTGACACACAAACTGGCCGACATAATTAAGATTAACAACCAATTGAAACGCAATGAGCAAAATGGAGCAGCGGCTCACATTTTAGCAGAAGACACAAAGATGCTTCAGTTCCACGTCGCCACTATGGTTGATAACGAGATGCCTGGTCTGCCTAGGGTCCGGTTTTTTTTATGTTTTATTTAATCAGTTTCACCATCACTCTCACTTTCGACTGACCAATCACAACAAAACAGGCGACACAGAAATCGGGTCGTCCATTGAAGTCCATCAAACAGCGTTTGAAGGGCAAGGAAGGGCGAATCCGTGGTAACCTTATGGGGAAGAGGGTGGATTTTTCAGGTAGGACCGTCATCACCCCAGATCCCATGTTAAGAATTGATCAGGTGTGTTTATGTGGGTTTGTGCTGGCTGGTTTGGTCGTAAGAGTATGTGAGGTTGTGTGTCTCCTGCTCTATTCTTGTGACCTTGTTTGAATGCTAAGAGGTTTCTGGCTGTCCTGATATGTATGTAGGTTATTGGAAATGAAAATTAACAAAAGTGTAAAATTTGTATTAGTTTTAAAAGTTATCTCCAACAATTTGGAGAAATAAAATTGTTTTTTGCGTATAAAAAAAAATTTTTACAAATTATGTTAATCTGAAACAGGTCGGCGTTCCTAGATCAATAGCCCAGAACCTCACCTATCCGGAGATTGTCACTCCATTTAATATCGACAGGATGACTGAGTTAGTGAACAGGGGTGCCAACCAGTACCCCGGGGCCAAGTACATTCTAAGGGAGAATGGCGATCGTATTGATCTAAGGTACCATCCTAAATCATCTGATCTTCATCTTCAGTATGGATACAAGGTATCATTTTGCTTGATGATATATCAATTCATCACACTTGTCAATTAATCATTTCACTTGGAATACTAACTCATCCAACTTACGCGTGACCCATCTCAATCTCTGACCAACCAGGTTGAGCGACACATGCAAGACAACGACTACATAATCTTCAATCGTCAACCAACCCTACACAAAATGTCTATGATGTGTCACAAAGTCAAGATTCTCCCCTGGTCTACATTCAGACTCAATCTAAGGTTACTGGCCGGGTCATTTTTTTGAATGTTGTTGGGATTAGCTGTGATGATGAGGATTGTGATTGCAGCTCTGTTGATGGTGCTTATTATCTTTCCACCTATTCACATTATCATTTATTCATTCATTTGCTCTTTCTCTAATTCATTCGTTAACCCACTCGATCATCAATTCACTCATCATTTTCTTTATAATCGTCGACATCATCTCGTCATCGTCATCATCATCTCGTCATCATCATCTCGTCGTCATCATCTCTCCACAAACAGTGTCACGACTCCATACAATGCTGATTTTGATGGTGATGAAATGAATCTCCATCTGGCACAGTCCCTGGAGACGAGAGCCGAGATTAGTCAGCTGGCCTCGGTGTCGAGGATGATCATCACCCCACAGGCCAACAGGCCCGTCATGGGTATCGTGCAGGACTCCTTGACTGCCGTTAATAAGATGACCAGGAGAGATACTTTCATTTGCAAGGTTGGCTTGATCTGGTTGGCTGGATAATATGGCTGGATATGATTGATTGGCTAGCTGGTTTGGTTTGGTTTTGTTGGTTACACTGACTACCGGCTATTAATCAAAAGATATAAATTATATATATTATTTTTACTAATTAAAAGATGTAAACCCAACCACCAACTAAACCACGCAGGAAGACATGATGAACATCCTGATGTACCTTCCAAGGTGGGATGGGAAAATGCCGCAGCCGGCCATCGTGAGACCCAAAGCCCTCTGGACAGGGAAACAGCTCTTCTCACTGATCATTCCCGGTCGAATAAATGTTATTCGTACTCATAGTACCCACCCCGACGACGAGGATAGGGGCTCTTATCAGTGGATATCCCCTGGGGATACGAAGGTACTGGTTGAGGATGGGAAGTTGCTCAGCGGTATACTGTGTAAAAAATCGCTGGGTGCCAGTGGAGGATCCCTACAGCATATCATCTATCATGAGCTGGTTGGTTGTGTGTGTGTGTGTGTGTGTGTGTGTGTGTGTGTGTGTGTGTGTGTGTTTACTCATTTCTTCATCGTTGTCATCATCATTTTTATGTTTCTTATTGTATGGTTTGATGGATTCATTAGAATCATCACATATCATCACCAGCATTATCATTAACATCACCAACATCAACTTAATCATCATCATTATTTTCATCATCATCGTTTATATATAATATGTAAGCAAACCTCGTGAACCTACCTACCCACCCACCCACCTACCCAACTGTAGGGTTATGAAGCCACAGCTGAATTCTACTCCAACATTCAAATGGTCACCAACCAGTGGCTCTTAATTGAAGGGCACACCATTGGAATTGCGGACACAATTGCAGACTCCAAGACCTATTCTGATATCCAATCAGCTATCAAGAAAGCCAAAGTGGGCTGAGCTTATTTTTTGCTGTTTGTCTGTTCTTTCGTTGTCTCGTTGGTTGGTCTTGAATGTTTTTTTCATATTGCACACACACACACGTGCTAACAGACTGATGTGGTGGAAGTCATCGAGAAAGCTCACAATGATGAACTTGAACCGACGCCTGGAAATACACTCAGACAAACTTTTGAAAATCAGGTCAGATCAAGAAGCAGGTGTGGTGTGTATGTGAGAGTGAGGGAAAGAGAGAGTGAATTTGTGTTTGTGTGTGCGCGTGCGTTAATACCAGCTGATGTACATCCCTGATTTTAGGTCAATCGTATCTTGAATGACGCCAGAGACAAGACAGGTAGTTTGGCTCAGAAGTCCCTATCTGAGTTCAACAACTTCAAGTCCATGGTCGTTGCTGGGTCGAAGGGCAACAAGATCAACATTTCACAAGTTGGTTGATTAATTGCTTGATCGGCAAGTACAACAATAGCTTCAGTAGCAAAACTAACCAATCCCTTCCCCACCTTGTCAGGTCATAGCCTGTGTAGGGCAGCAGAATGTCGAGGGCAAACGTATCCCCTTTGGCTTTCGACACAGGACTCTCCCTCATTTCATCAAAGACGATTACGGTCCTGAGAGTCGAGGTTTTGTTGAGAATTCTTACCTGGCTGGTCTTACACCTACAGAATTTTTCTTCCACGCCATGGGAGGTAGGGAGGGGTTGATCGATACGGCCGTCAAAACTGCTGAAACTGGTTAGTGAGGGGCTGGGGTTCTTTCTTTAATGTTTGATCTGATGGCGATATCGCTAATGACTTGCTTGTTTTTCCTGCTTGTCGACGGTTAGCATTCGTTACATTACAACTGCCATCAGGGTACATCCAACGTCGTCTCATAAAGGCTATGGAGAGTGTCATGGTGAAATACGATGGTACGATTAGGAATCAGATCGAACAACTCATTCAATTGCGCTACGGAGAGGACGGGCTGGCTGGTGAGTGGGTAGAATTTCAAAATCTTCCCTCTCTCAAACCATCTGATAAGGGCTTCGAGAGAGGGTTCAAATTCGACCCGACCAATGAGAAGTAAGAGGGGAACGATTTTAATTATCTTTGTTATCATTGTTTTACCCCAAATTTTGGTGATTTGTATTAATGATAGCAACATTAATTTGTATTGGTGACAACAGGCATTTAAAGCATTACTTAAACGAAGATGTCTTAAAGAAGTTGAGTGGGGATGCCAATGTCATTGCAGAAGTTGAGAAAGAATACGAACAGCTGCTCGAAGATCGTATTGCAGTTAGGCAGATTTTCCCCTCTGGCGATAGTAAGGTAATCCGAGATTACAATCAGTTACAACTTATAGAATGACAAGTAAAAATACGATGAAATGAAGAAAATGTACGAAATAATGTAAACTAGTGTATATAAAATGAAATATTGAGTTAAATTTTTTTTTTCTGATTTGTAAATTCGCAAATTTTTCCGGTCGCAAATTCAACAAGAAAGATAATTCATCACTTCACAGATTGTCCTTCCGTGCAATCTACAACGCCTGATTTGGAATGCCCAGAAGATTTTTCGCATACATTCCAGGAAACCATCCAATCTTCACCCTGTCAAAATTATTCAAGGTTCGTTGGTCTAATGAGGTCAGAAGTTTAAATCTAAACATAAGTTCCTTTTCTTTATTCAAAAACTTACTATCAAAATTATCATTTATTCACCTGATCATGACCACCAATTGTCACTAACTATGCCCACCATACAGACGTGCGTGAACTTAGCAAGAAGTTCATGATAGTAAAAGGTGAGGACAGACTGAGTAAGGCTGCCAATACAAACGCCACTCTACTCATGAACATACTGGTCAGATCTACTCTTTGCTCTAAGAAGGTATGCCGATAGTCCCAAGCGGATAACCGCAATGCAGTTTCAAACCGTGGTTACGGATAAAAAATTTTCTAAACTTCGCGTATTTTGCCTGTGCGGTTTGCCCCGGATGCGGATTCAAGTGTATTATTCAATAAACTGGCCGCAAAGTTAAATTTTAAATTTTCAGAATAAAAAAATTTTGTTTTTTCGTTTGTTTGCATATATTGAAAATTAGAAATTGAATTAAATTAAAAGAATGGAAAAGAAATTAAATTGAAAGATTGTCTGCCGTCTGATTGTAATTATATTGTAAATAGATTGCCTTCTAGTGTTGCAGTCTTCTAATTTTAAACATGAGATTAAGACGGCCGATTTAGATTGCCTTTTCTCGGGTGAGGGTGGTTGTAAATATCTTCTCTGCTTAGGAAGAGCTACTGGCTAGCTGTGATCGTCAACATGGATTTAATTTAAAAAGAAACCTCATTAATATAATGCTTGCTAAAAATTTTACCATGTTTAAACTGTTTACCATGTTTCTATCTATATGTTGTGGTTTATTTCTTCTTACCATTTTTACACGTTATACTCACGAAAATTCCAAACAAGAGCCGCACTGTAACTACCTGAACTCACCTTCCAATTCAAACAATCAGGTCATCGAAGAATTCCATCTATCCTCAGAGGCATTTGAGTGGCTGATCGGGGAAATAGAAACAAAGTTTATACAAGCCCAGGTTCAGCCCGGTGAGATGGTCGGGGCCCTGGCTGCCCAATCCCTCGGAGAACCCGCCACACAAATGACCCTTAACACTTTCCACTACGCCGGAGTGTCTGCTAAGAATGTAACTCTGGGTGTACCCAGACTCAAGGAGATTATAAATGTTTCCAAAAAGCCCAGGACTCCGTCTCTGACTGTCTTCCTGACGGGACAGCCTGCTAGAGATGCTGAGAAAGCTAAGGTAGGTTGGAGTGAGAGAAGATTTTGTTTTGTTTTGTCGGTTGGTGTTTCTTTTTTTTTGCTGATTGGTTAGTTTGTTTGTCTGCTTGTTCCTTTGTTTGCTTGCTCAATTGTTCATATGTTTTAGATCTTTTGACCAACTCTTCTCTAAATATTTTAAAAGTTCTTTTTCACCGTTTAACAGTCATAGCGTAATCCTGATGAAAATGGTCATTCCCAATAATCACCATCTCACATCCTCAATCATCACCATCATCATCGTCATCATGATCACTAACGACGATCATTATCAGGATGTTCTCTGCCAGTTGGAGCATACAACGCTTCGGAAGGTGACAGCCAACACTGCCATCTATTACGATCCAGACCCCATGCATACTGTCATAGATGAGGACCAGGAATGGGTTGGTTGGCTGGCTGGTTGGTTGGTTAGCTTGTTGAAAGATTGATTGATGATTTTTTGATTGATTGACTAATATTATTATTATTATTATTACGACTATTACAAACATGCAGGTGAGTATCTATTACGACATGCCTGATATTGACATATCCCGCTTGTCTCCCTGGCTATTGAGAATCGAACTGGATAGGAAGAGGATGACCGATAAAAAGTTGACCATGGAGCAAATATCTGAAAAGATCACATCCGGTTGGTTGGTTGATTGATTGATTGTTGATTGATTGTTGATTGATTGATTTGTTGGCTGACTGGCTTGCTGGCTGTAATTGATTGAGTGATTGTTTAGTTAATTGATTGATTGATTGATTGATTGATTGATTGATTGATTGATTGATTGATTGATTGATTGATTGTTTTATTGTTGATCAATCTGATGACTTTTGGTGTGCTGGTTGTTTTATAAATGTTTTAGTTGCTCTTTTTTAAGTTTTAAAACCAACGGAATAATGAAGAAGTGATGACAGAAAACGAATGAATGAGTGAAGGAACGAATGAATGGATGAATGAACTGTCATTTCTCAACCAATCAGGCTTTGGGGACGATTTGAATTGCATCTTTAACGATGACAATGCAGAAAAATTAGTGCTAAGGATTAGGCTAATGAATAATCAGGATAGCAAGCAAGGAGATGTGAGTTGCTTCTTTGTCTGCTTGTTTGTTTGTTTGTGAGTTTGTTTGTTTGTTTGTTTGCTTGCTTGTTTGTGAGTTTGTTTGTTTGGCCGATTGGTTGCTTGTTATGTTGTGATTGTATTGCTCATAACATTAACGCTGTACCGTTAACGCATACATCACAAAAATTGACATTGACATCAACAACGTCAGCAACAACAACAACAAAATAACATCCACAACAGCAAGAGATGGAAGAACAAATCGACAAGATGCCTGACGACACATTCCTAAAACACATCGAGTCAAACATGCTGACTGATATGACATTACAAGGAATTACCACTATTTCTAAAGTCAGTTGAGTTGCTTTGTTGCTCTGCTTTGATATGTTTGGTAAAGGGAGTCCAGGGATGTGCGTTTTTTTATTGTGTTTTATATCTATGGTGGTATGTGTTTAGTGATGGGATACTTACACACACACACACACACACACACACACACACACACATATATATATATATATCTATATATATATATATATATATATCTATATATATATATATATATATATATATAGCGCTCTAATGTTAATAATTCCAATGTAAAGTTAGTTTTTTCTAAGTTGTTTGTTTTTGATATCTAGATTGAGGGGTCCAGAGATGTGCGTGTTTTTCCGTGGGTATTTATATAGCGCCATTTTTATGCTAATAACTATAATATTGTTTGTATTTATCTGTTAATGAATGTGATTAGCTTTTGTTAACTTCTCAGGTGTACATGCAACAGCCAACTACTGATGATAAGAAACGTATAATCATTGATGAGAAAGGTTTCTGTAGCATTATCTTTATAATCATCATTTGTGTCATCTTTTGTAACGTTATCATCGTCATTGGTGACGTCATCATATCATTTGTGTGGCATCACAGGTGAGTTCAAGGCCCTACAGGATTGGATACTTGAAACTGATGGCACTGCCCTTCGTAAGGTCCTGTCAGTCGAGAATGTTGACCCAGTTAGGACGGTGACCAATGATATCGTAGAGGTCTTTGAGGTATGTAGGTCACTTGCATCTCATTATAATTTCTAATTTGTGCTTTTAGTTGGAATGGAATATTATTATATTGCTACTATTAATTGTATCTATCATTCAATCGATCTTTCAATCAATCAGTCAGCTGTTTCTATTCTTTCAGTTTTTTATTCAATCAAATACCCACCATTTATGAAAATATAATAATAATAATTATTATTATTATCATAATTATGCAAATAGGTTCTCGGGATAGAAGCGGTACGAAAGGCCATAGAGCGTGAGATGAACAACGTCATCTCCTTCGATGGCTCCTACGTCAATTACAGACATCTCGCTCTTCTCTGTGACGTCATGACGGCCAAGGGTGACCAATCACTCACTCATTCACTCGCTCAATCAGTCATTCATTCAATTAATCATTCACTCACTTAATCAGTTATTCGTTCAATTATCAGTCAGTTATTCGTTATTATTCGTTCAATTAATCATTTACTCACTCAATCATTCAATTATCAGTCAGTCACTTAACCAGTCAACTGCTCTTATATAAATAAATATACACTGAATACCGCCGACCTTGAACTTGAACTTAAATTGATGATGCATAGGTCATCTGATGGCCATAACTCGACATGGCATCAACAGGCAGGAAACTGGAGCACTGGCTCGTTGCTCCTTTGAGGAAACGGTTGGTTGGGTTGATTGATTGATTGATTGGTTGGATTGATTGATTGATTGGATTGATTATTTGATTGATTGATTGATTCTTTATCCACAGGTTGACATTTTAGTGGAGGCAGCAGCCCACGCTGAGATGGATCCAATGAAAGGCGTGTCAGAAGCCATCATGCTTGGACAGCTGGCCAGGATTGGTTAGTAGAGAGTATGGGGCTAGGAGGGCCCATGTATAATATAAACTGTGCTAATTGCTGTTAAGTTGTGACTGGCTGTCTCATATAGAAGAATGATATTGGTTTACGCATGTGAACAGTTGAATGTTGTCAGTGAATGAATGAATGATTGATTAATTGCTTGCTTGATTGATTGTTTGATTGATTGTTTGATTGATTGTTTGATTGATTGTTTGATTGATTGTTTGATTGATCAGTTGATTGATTGATTGATATCTCAGGAACTGGTTGTTTTGACATGATGCTGGATGCTGACAAGTGCAAATATGGATTGGAAATCCCGACAAATGTTTCAGCCAATGCTCTGGCTGGTATGATTTTCATAATTTCTGAATAATTCATATTTATTCAGTATAGCAATTATATTATAATAATCAATTATTACTTTTAAAAAATTACTTTTCGTTGGCAATTTCAGGCAGGGACATCTTCGGCCTAACATCAATGACTCCGGGTGGAGCTACCCTTTTGGGCTCCCCTCAAATGACCCCCTGGGGTCAGCAGAGCGGTGCCACCCCCTCCTACAACTCCTACTCGCCAGTTAGCGGAATGACGCCTGGAACGTGTGCCGGGTTTTCTCCAATCGATCGCGGATACAGTCCCTTGCATAGTCCAGGATGGTCTCCTGTTCCCGGATCACCTGGATCTCCAGCACTGACGAGCCCTTATATTCCGAGTCCCACTGGACCCCTCTCGCCAACCTACAGTCCGGATTCTCCGTCGTACATGCCGACGTCGCCCGCCTTGATGCAGGCACAAAGTCCCGGCGGATACAGCAGCAGAAGTCCTGTCTACTCATCTGGAAGCCATGGATACTCGCCAACGTCACCCTCGTATTCGCCAACGTCGCCCTCCTATTCGCCAACGTCACCCTCCTATTCACCTACTTCGCCCAGTTATTCGCCGACTTCACCTAGTTACTCTCCCACTTCACCATCTCGCTCGCCGGCCTCGCCATCCTACTCGCCAACCTCACCATCCTACTCCCCGACGTCACCGTCATACTCACCAACGTCTCCATCATATTCTCCGACATCACCCAGTTACTCACCGACCTCACCAAGTTATTCACCAACGTCGCCATCTTACTCACCGACCTCACCATCTTACTCACCGACTTCACCATCTTACTCACCAACCTCACCATCCTACTCACCAACGTCACCATCCTACTCACCAACGTCACCATCATATTCACCAACATCACCGTGCTACCTGCCAACGTCACCATCATTCTCGCCAACATCACCAAACTACAGTCCGACTAGCCCAAGTTACGTACCAACTTCACCATCCTACTCGCCAACATCACCAGCTTTTCCGCCCTCATCCCCAAATTATTCTCCCTCATCCCCAAATTACTCGCACACTAGTCCACAGTACTCACCTGGATCACCAAACTACAGCCCATCGTCACCAGCGTCTCCAAATTACTCGCCAACTTCACCATCCTACTCGCCGTCATCTCCTAATTATTCCGTGAAGAGCCCCGGATTTAGTACGGCCTACAGCCCATCAAGTCCCCAGTACAGTCCCACAAGTCCGGCTTACTGTCCGACAAGTCCTAGATACTCGCCCACATCACCGGGTTATACCCCGAGTTCCCCAGCTTTCCCGTCGTCGTCACCAAATTATGCACCATCATCACCGACGTACTCGCCAACGAGTCCAATGTTTGGAGGCGGTGATGATAGATCGCCCATGACTCCAGGCAGTCCGGCGCTTGATTCCGACGATGACGAAGAGATGAAGGATCCTGCCAATGATAACGATGTCGAAGATGATGACGACGATGAAGATATGGTAGAAGCTTGAGCAGGTGAAGAAGATGACGACGACGAAGATGAAGATATTGAAATGTATTAGAATCTTGAATATGTCACGATGTAGATGATGACTATTTAGACCATATTAAAATCTGAAAAGGATAATGATGGTGGTGATGATAAAAATGATGATGAGGACTTGATGAAGGGATAGAGAAATAATGATAGCTAAACTACGTTGCTGACTGAAAAACTCATTCATGATTTTGTTGACGTTGTTGGCGAAATTGTTTCTGATTTACATTTAAGAATATAACCGTTATTGCTTTGTTTTGCATCAGTGCATTTGTCTCGTTTCGTTTCGCAGTTCTACTGTACCGTTATAATTCATTGATTGTCGTTCCAAGAAACGCTTAAATCGTTTCGAAATGATAAAAGTTTATCATGTTAGTTATATCGCTAATCAATCAATTGACTTTTTAATTAATGCTTGAGTTCATTTCGAAGTTTTTAGAGGTCCGCATAGCACCAAGTTTAGAAACAAGTGAACATTTTAAATAATCTATTCATTCATTTGTTCGTCCTTTCACTCTTCATTCATTCAACGTTTGAACAATGAACAAAACTAAACCTGCGAACAAACGAACATGAAACTTATCATTTTAATTTTATTAAAAAGAAAAAACTTAATCTAAAAACAGCATTTAATAACTGAAGTGTAAAATAAATACATACGCGTATGTAGAAAAGAGCAGATGATAAATTTTTCTTTCTTCAGTTTAAAAACAATCGTACATTCAAACATTCATTCTCTCATTCAATCGTTTGTTCATTCATTCATCTATTCATTCACTCTTTCGTAAAATTGTTATAACTTTTTCAAATTGTTAGCGTCGAAACCACTTGCTGCCAAATGCACAGATGTTCATATATACAAATATTTTCCTGTATGAGAGTGTACTATACACACGCGTATGTACACATACCTCGTACACATGTAGGGAAATACAAAATGATAACGAAACAATACATATACATAAGCTTCACTTTCGAATCATGTTTTAAATGATGGAAAAAATTACAAGTTTTCACGTACATACAACATACAAACATTTGTATAATGTGTGTGTGTACACACATATACTATACAACGTACATATATATATATATATAATTGTTAGAAACGAACAAACAATTTATAACAGTAAGTAATAATTGAAATAAAATACAATGTATAAAATATTTAAAAACAAAAACAATCGGAAAATAATTAGAATTTGTTTGTATATCAACCAATCAGCTATTTGCTTATCAACCAATCAGCTATTTACTTATCAATCAATCAACCAACCAATCAACTATTTACTTATCAGTCAATCAACCGATCAGCTACTTATTTATAAATCAATCAAAATCAATTAATTAGTACCGGAAATAAAATTCTATCAACTGTTATCTGATATCTGTGAGTAATGACCTAACCAATAGTTAATAAAATCGAAAAATAAACACACACACACATATATATATAAATGTGTGTGTGTGTATATATGTATATGTACATATATAAAATCATGTGGAAAATGAATCACAATGAATTTGGTAAGCGCACAAAGATTAGAAATAAATCCATTTTTAAATAACCATTAAATTCACATATCTGTTTTAATCAAGAATTAAGAATATACAAGAGAGAATTAAAGAAGAGAATATATATATATGTATATATATATACACACTCATATAAAGCTGCATAAATACATACATACATAAAAACATATGTATATACAAACACACACACTCACGCATTGCAAAGCGTCTTAGCCGATAAAAAATTCAGTATTAAATGTAGATACTGCAAATGTAGATATAATGAAAAGAACATTCAAGTAGCCAGGTATGTATGTATATATGCATGTATGTATGTATATATACATGCATGTATGTTATGTATGTATGCATGTATGTATGCATGCATGTATTACACACTAAACTGTAGAATTACTACTACACTTAATGTAGTGATAGTACTAGCATTGTAAGATGATCAGTAGCTGTGTTTTGATTATAAATTAGCAAAAAAGAGAAGCGGTCGTAGAGCCGTTATCAAACTCTGGTACTAAAAGTAGTAGTAGTAGTAGTAGCAGCAGTAGAAGCAGCAGCAGCAGTAGTATAAAACATTTTTATCAAAGATTTATAATAATACAATTAACATTGCTAAAATTACGATTTTATAACAGCAGCAGAAGAAGTAGCATTAGTATTGTTAGGATTGTTATCATTATCAGAGTAGTAATAGTGGTAGTAGTAGAAGACATAGCGTTAGTAATAGTATTAATAGCAGTGGTAGTAGTGGTAGAGGTTGTGGTAGTAGCAGCAGCAGTAGTAGATACTACTAATATTTAAAAGTATTATTTCTATAGTAGTAACGAGTAAGTACAAATTGATATGAGGTATGTTGAATAGCCAGGAGGCCTATGTACGTAAATAAGGCCTGTAAAGAATTGAGATGGTGGTGATGATGATGGCGACTGAATGGAAAGATGAATATTTGAAATCAATCAATCAACCGGTCAATCAACCAATCAATCACTCGATCAGTCACTCAATCGGTCAATCAATCAGTGAATATCACCATACATCCATGCACTCATTCAACCATTCATTAAGTAAAATAGCATTTAAATCTCAGTAAGCAAGACAGTTAGTTTAGTTGCTAATCGAATTATTGCATTTGTCATGTAAACTCTCCAAGTGTAAACACACACACGCACACACACACACGTACAAGCACACACACACAAACAAACAAAAACGTACATACACACACAAACATACAATTTACTTCTGTTTCTCTCTACACCTTGCAACAAACTGTATGCATAAGCATACTACAATACAATATGATATATATATAGATATATATAAACAACATTAAAAGCCCATATATATATATATATATATATATATATATAATATATATATATATATATGTGGACAAAGACAATACAATACAATTATTGACGAATGTCATATCACTACTATGCGATGACTTGCACGCACACACACACACACACACACACAGACAGGCACACACACACAGACACACGCAAAGACGTACACATGAACTATATATAGAGATGATGTTATTAATAAACCATGATACAAGTGTGACGTAAGGAAGAAATGAAGGAAAAAATGAAAGAAGAAACAAAATAATATAAATAATAACATTTTTTTTATTAATTTATTATTCATTCGTCATTAATATTAATGAAGTCATTATTAATATGTGTCTTAATATATACATTAAATGAACCTGAGTCTATATATACATATATATGTATATATATGTATCACAGAACATTTTAGCAAATAATAATTTTCTCTTTCAAAGTCGAGAAACCAACTATATTAGCTTTCAATCAGTCAGAGAGTTAACTGAATCAATCATACAATTGAATAGTTGATCTAGAATCTATCAATCAATTAATTAATCAATCAATCAATCGATCAATTGTTTAAAAGTAACGGTAAAGAAATCTAGACTGGCGGAAAAACTAAACATTAATGGCTATCCAACAGTTTATCCAGTAGACAAAGTTTTGAAAAACTCAATTAATCAGTCAATCAACCAACAAAATAACCAGTCATTCAATTATTCAATCAATCAATCAACCAACGTATCAATCACTCACTCATTCTCTCACTCACTCAAAGTGAATGAACAACAGCCCTCAACTGTTCGTTGGTTAACTTGTCAATTTTGGCAACTTCAAGAAAAACTCTGAAAGTAAATGATAACAATCATTATAACATTAACAACAACAACAACAACAACAACAACAACAACAACAACAATAATAATAACAATTTAACTTACGGGTGAGAATACTTGGACAGTATGGTGGTCAGCGAGGGTTCCGGTGGATTACAAATCATGTCGTTTAACTTGTACACGACCTCCTCAAAGTCGACGGGCCGGTATTGTGTATAGTGGTATATCGTATCGTCCTTTAGTTCAATGTGTATGTGCGTGTGTGTGCGTGTGTATGTACGGACGTGTGTATGTGTGCTTGTGTATGATATATGTGTATATTTACATTAAAAGACTTTAAATTACAAACTAATATTGATTGATTTATTGATTGGTAAATAAATCAATGGAGATAAACAAACTCGCTATCTCATTAACGTAATTGATTATGCATAATTAATAATTAATTACCCAGCTGCCATCCTGGTTCATGCACATGGCTATAAATAGACAGGCGCAGGCCAGAATGGAATCTAGGCAGACGACAAATTGATAATCCATCAGTGAACTTTCCAACAGGAAACGAGATAGCGTCAGTGTCTTTAGATTAGCTCGACCACACTTCAAGGAAAGATTAGGAATGTGTGTGTGCGTGTATGTGAGTGTGTATATATATATATATATGTGTGTGTGTGTGTGTGTGTGTGTGTATGTGTCTGTCTGTGTGTACGTACGTATATACATATGTGTGTTTGAGTACGTATGAAATCACCACTAACATAATCACATGTAGTATTGTATACTAAGAAATTTAAAAAGCTCAATGAAACAAAGACAAATTAGAGGTATGAACGCACGCAAACACGTAACCACGCAGACATATGTACAGTAGTACGCACGCACGCACACACACACAAACACACTCAGAGAGAGAAAAAGAGAGAGAGAGAGGCAGGCTAACATACAGTGGCAAATCTCCTCAGGAACGTGTAAGACAGTGGTAGACCGATGTCAAAACCGACGGCCTGAAAAACGAGTTCCTCCATTTTTAGAAACTCCTGTCGGGGGTAGGCATCGTCGCAGACGTACACAAAGTCATCCAGCATCGGAGGACAACGTTCCTAATTGACGGGGGGGGGGAAATAGGAATGGGTTGTTGAACTTGTTTTGGTTGTATGTTTAGTGATGGATTGGGGATATAAGTCAATTAACTTCTTCAAACAAAACCAACCAACCAGCCAACCAACCAACCAACCAACCTCAAACTTGCAGGCCAAATTGAGAGCCACAGCTCCAATTAGTTGCAGTTTATTCCTCTTGATGGTGACCTGTTTAATTAATTTTTTAAATCGAATCTCAAAGAAAGGATTGATTGGTTGGTTGTTTGATCAAATGATCTTTTTTTTTCAAATTAATGATTCAATGATTTGTTTAATTTATTTCTAAACAACAATGATTGCCAAATAACTAAACTAATATACTATAGAAAAAAAAAATTTAAAAATCTGTCAAAAACAACACGCAAACACACACACACACACACACACAAACACACAAACATAAACGTACCAACAAAATACAAAAAAAAACCTTTGAAGAGAAGATGTCAATCAATTTGACCGCCATATACAAGGTTTCGTGATTCAGTTCGAAACTTTGCTGCACCTCCACCAACCAGTCGACCAGGATCGCTCTCATGCTTGGCGTCAAATCCGTCTGCTGGAACATGTAGTCAGGGATTCGGAACTTCACCTAATTGTTAGTTCGTTGGGGATAATGGTGAGTTAGGAAAATAAATAGGGATGAGCCTGTTTACTAGCATTGGGAAAAAATTTTCAGGTCTTGATTTAATTATCTAGCTACAATATCAATCATATTAAATCTGATAGAAACATGAAAAGGTTTGCTAAATGATATAAACCTGAAATGAAATTTTTCAATGCTAACAAACTAAACCAACTACCATTTTATATTTAAGAAAGAAAATTACACCATGATATATTTGGAATATAAAAATAATCAATCAAGCAAGCAAGCAATCAATCAGTAAATCAAACAATCAATCAGTCAGTCAAATGATTGATTGATTGAGAATATAAGATACATGCCCTCAATTGCTCACCTCTCTATCTCTGTAGTAATCAAAAATGTCATTAACATAGTTAGGTAGGTAGTATATGCTGGTTCCTACGTCAACATCAACCCATGCTTGTTGCTGTTGTTGTTGTTGCTGATGTTGTTGTTGCTGATGTTGTTGTTGTTCTTGTATGTCTTGCAATTGTGCACTTGATTGTACACAAACTATTTCAACATCACCTTCATCGTTATTATGATCTGCCAGGGGGGAAGATGACGATATCAAACTGTCAATCTCAGCATGGATTGGCTCGTTGAATGGTTTAGTAGATGGATGTTGTTGTTGCTGTTGTTGTTGGTTGCTGGCAGCTGTTTTTGTTGCCGCTGTTGATGTTGTTGATGTTTTACGAGCTGCAGTTGCCTTTCTTCTTGTCGCTGCAGTTGCTACAGCTACCCCAGCTGCTGCAGTTGCTACAGCTACCCCAGCTGCTACATTGCTCTCGTCCACCTATGATTGAGCAATAGTTTCATTGAGTAAAATGCAATAAATTAATTAATTGATTGTTTAATTATTATCATAAATGAGATTTATTATATTCAAACAAACATACATGCACAAGCACATACGTGGAAACATATTAACATCCATATAAAAATACATACACACAAACACAGATACACATACATGTACACATACACAGATACACATACATGTACAGTGTACACATACACAAATTGATTACCTTGTAGCCTAGGTTGACAGTTAATCTGTCCAAACATAATAAATATTAGTGTGAAAATAGTAAAAATGTTAAATATTAATACAAAAATACAAATAATATAAAAATAATCTAGAGACCTTTCGATAGGATTCACTAAATTGTCTACATTGCAACTCTTTCTTCTCTTTGTAGCTGATTGTTGTTTTTCGACAGCAGGCTTTTTGGTCCCCAAAATAACTGCTTCTCGCTTTTTGGGCCTCACTGCTACTGTTGTCGTTGTGGTGGTGGTCTTGATGGGTTTCACTAATTTATTTGGGAGTTTTAGGGAGGGTTGAACAATTGAAGGACATTTTGCCCTTTTATTTCCTCCAATGTTTTTCTGGGTGTCATATTCCTAAAAAAAAACATCTAATTTAGTTATAGCAGTCATAAAAAACTCCTCAAAACTTTTTTGACAAAAATTCTATAATATAAATTTCTAAATTGTAAGTTGCATTGTGAGTCACATTGTTTTAAAATTTTGGTTATTTAGTTCAATTATGTCTGTAACAAGAATAAGACAAACACAAGCTCTACTTTGCTTTTATAGGACAAAAAACTTGACTAAGTAATCACTAATTCTAACATTATTAACGTCATTAACTAGCAGCAAATTTTAAAAACATCAAATGTTTAGAAAAGAAATTGAAAGCAAAAAAGTAAACTAACATTAGAGACGTCTTCTAATGCGAGCCTCTTCTTCTTATTAGCCATCTCCATTATCGTGGACCCCTTTCTCCCGCTAACTTTCTAACTTTTACACTAATTAGGATTAGGCTAATAAACGTTTTGCTAACCAGGCAAATTGAGCCAACTTCAAGACTAGAAGAAGACTTGATTAGCAATTATCATGCGTTCGGAACGGTAAATAAGGTGAAAATTTTTTAATAAAATTAAAAAATTGAAAAAGACAACTTTGTAGGTGATTATGATACGATAAAATTTAATTTTTGATGCCCAAAATGAGAGAATTTAACAAAATTCCAGCTCGCAATTGCAAATTGAATATTTAAAAACTGCTATCGAATTAAAAGTAACGCTCTGATTGGCTACTGTCAATTCGCATTGTCCAATCACGTCGAGGACGCCAGTGTTGATCGGTATAATTTGAAATGATACATTTTAGTACAGTTAATTTTTAATATTAAAAATATTATTTATTTGATTAAAATTTTTGTAAAACTGTTTTGCATTATTATGTGTTTATTAATATACATTATTTAATGTGTCAAAATTATCGCAAAATCACAAAATTATTGGAAAAATACAGGTTAAATATGAAAAGTTTGATGAAAATTAGATTTCTCAGTTAATAATTTAGTTATTTGTATAATATTGAAATAAAATAATAAACTAAAAACCACTTAGATCGAAATTTAAGACAAATTTTAAAATATTTTATTTCTCATTGCTTATACTTTCATCACCATTGGCAACTCGACATCAATTAAAAATATCTATTAAGAATTCCTTATTAAAACACCCTTTTGTTGGTAATTTTTTTAATTTTATTTATAATTGTTAAACACATAATTAATATTTGTTTATTTTCAATCGCATTTATACCGTTATTATGATAATTAACTCAGTAAAATAGAATGTGTGATGATGATAAAATCATCGATAGCAGAGCTATTTGGTTTTGGTATACAAATCTCTTATCTAAAGTTTGCAAATTTTGGATTTAAATTCATTAATTTTAACATTTTTTTATACTTAACATTTTATTACGTATTAGTCGTTTAAATTTCGTCTTAAAACTATTTTCTAACTGCTGATAAAATCTATTAAAATTTTATTTGGTTGTTATAAGCTATATTTTAATCTTTATAGTATAGTTCGATGTGAAATTATTTCTACATTATAATTATTCGACTACTTTCTTGCTTTAATTTGTTTTTTACTTTTAATTTTATTTAAAATTTAATTACTCAGTCGAGTTAATATCATTTTAAATACATTCAAAAATATAAAGTTTATACCGTATATTTAATAGATTATATACCTCAATTATTAATACAATACAAGGTATTTACTGTCTGGTCAAGTTACACGAAATATAAATTATCATTAACTCCAACTAAATTGTCCAACTTTGAAAGCTCAAATAGCAATAATAATAATAATAACATCAAAAATAATAATAACAACGTTGATTGCCAAAATTCTGTTCAAAAAACTTCCTCCATTTCGCTAATTGTTGACGAAATCAATAGCGATTGGAAGGGGGAAATGATCAATTCTTCCAACAAATGTACAAATTCTTATGATGTCGATTCTAATTTTGATGGTTGGAATAATTCAGCAAGCGTAGCGGAAAATTATGATGATAATTTTGTAGAAAGTAACGAGAATTTGAACTATTCAACGAGGTCATTTCCATCTAAATGGTTCGATAATCTCAACAATAGCGGTAACAAAAGTTCGAAAAAGAAGAAACAGGCCGCTGGTGAAAAAGTGGAAGAAGAAAATTTGGAAACAGCTGATGAAGAGGAGGACAAAGAAGAGGAAGAACAAAAAGATGGAAATATCAAATTTGAAGATACTGAAAAAGAACAAAATGGAGAAATTGAAATGGTTTTCGTTCCTGATACTAAATCGTCGGTATTTGAACCGAAAGAAAATGAAGAAATAGTTGATATAATCTCCAACGAAGGCGGTGAAGGTAACAAAAATGGCGAGTTGTCTTCTACTGCCAGAGCTCAAAATGATACCCTAATGAAGAAAGATAGCGAAATTTTTCTAACGAATCAACTGAATTATTTCTCAGATAAGTCGGACGAGTGCTACCATCACGAAAAACGTCTGAGTGAAATCTGTAGAAAACGTTACAATAATCCAGAATGGTTCGAAATGACGATCATGACTAGGGACAAAACCGACCGTCCATTAGGGACTGCCACTCCCACGAAACAAGACGAACACTTAGCGCAACATCAGCACGAACTTTCTCGCGAAAATGGCGAATTAGCCTCAACGAAACCGGTTGATATTGTCAAAAATGAAATTGCCATAAAATGCGAGAATGGAATTTGCACGATGGATACCAGAACCTCTCCGATGAAAATTAACGAGGGCGCTGCCGAAAACTTTGACAGCAGTTTTGTCGAGATGAAACTTAACATGCGGTTCAAGGTCTAGTTTTTAGTCCAATGTCTAGTTTTTAGTTAAATGAAAATTTTACTTTTATTAATATTTTTTGTAGTTTTTACGCTATTCAAGTTTAAGTTTCAACTTTTATAAACTTCAACAAACAGAAGAAAATAACTAGCCACTACGCTATGCTGAAGTCAGCGAAAGATGTCAAAATGGATCAACAGCATGGCCTGCTTACAGATTCAAGGTGTTTGAGATTAAAAATGTTATTGTTCATGTGTGTGTATGCCTGTGTATGTATGTGTGTGTGTGTTATTGTGCGTATGCTTGCGTGTATATGCGTGTGTGTTTTGCACTGCACTAGATAATTATATAAAAATGAATGATACTTTCAATTAGGAGACCATCCGAACGCCAAAGTCTTCTATCTAGAAAACCGAGCAATCTGCCAGTGAAGACCTCAGGATCCCCGTTAAAACAAGCTCCTACCGACGCGGCCGCAACTGAAGCAGCAACAGCAGCTGCCAACCAAAACTACATACTACCAACCACCATGTCCACCACACCTAACTACATCCACAGTCAGCCAATCGGCAACGCCGAGCACAAAATCGTCGATGATGACGACAAACGCATCCCACTTAAGCCTAGCTTCTCAGGAATTAACAGCCAACAGTTCATCACCTCAACAACCTACCACCACTACCAGTCACACAGTCCAGAGTTCTCCATCAGAAAGGAATACCCGTCGAATGATTGTACCCAGAAATACCATCACGTACAATACGACGGCGAAGAGGAGGTTCATATGAAACTGCTACCGAGTGTGCACACCTACACAAGTTCCCCAAGATCTCCAATGTCCCAAAGTCCGAAACGTCAATATTCTGATATCGAGAATGTTTACACACACATCCATTCCCCACCGCATAGAGCCTCACATTTAGTCAAAGATCCGGTCAATGACGACTGCCACCACCGTAGCAGCACCATCGCCAGACGCTTGGAAGCCCTGAGACCAGCTTCACGTGTGTTTAACAATAAAGTTGAGCGAATCAGCGATAAATGGAAACATCGATTCGACATTTTAAACTATCAAAAATCGTTCGAATGTTATCCGACGAAGTATTTCAAAAAAACCGACACCGAAACTAAGTGTCCAGCCTCGCTTGGTCAAACGAATTGCGAATTTCTTCGAGAATTAGAGTCGTTCTTGAGTTACGATTCGATGAATAATGATAGGAGAGCCGTCGAGGCGAAGATCCAGCAACTTCAATGCATCAGGGAAAAGCTTAAAAAATTTCAAAATAATCGGGATAGGCTGAGGTCGGTTGGCTGGCTGGTTGGTTGATTGATTGGTTAGTTAGTTGGCTGGTTGATTGGTTGATCGGTCAGTTGATTAGTTAGTAGGTTGGTTAGTTGTTGACTGTTTCTACACTGTTCAAAACGTCATTGTTATCAATGTTATCGCCAATGCCATTATAGTTATCTTAGAGATTCCCTTCTTCCTCCGCCTCATCCTCCGCATTATCCCCATCATCATCGTCATCAGACAGGCAACCATGACAGTCGGCCATCTTGAATCCTGGCTCTCCCTTCAGAAGGGGGCCGTTCACCAGCCGTGCACCTACATGAGTCGCAATCACGCCGGCATGCTCATACAGGTCCAACTCACCGTCAAAGAGGTGAGATATGAAGTGAGAAAGAGAGAGGAGAGAGAGAGGGAGAGAGTGAGAAAAAAATAGATAGAGAGATAAAAACAGATAGAGAAATTATGATAGAAATAAGAATGAATGAATGAATGAATAGATGAATGAATGAATGAATAGATGAATGAATGAATGAATGAATGAATTAATTAATTAATTAATTGGAGAGAAAAAAGAGAGAAACGTGGAATTAATTAACCGTTTCCACTGTTGAAATATTTATTGATTTTAATTTTTCTACCATCATCATATAATTACTAATAATAAAACGTATGCACACACACACACACACACACACGTACGCATACACGTACGCATACAGCTTAAAAGAGATATAAAAGAACTTAGAAATATCGTCTGCAATGAGTGCCCAGTGGCCAGGAATCTCGCCGAACGGGCAAAAAATATGTTGGCCGATATAAGAACGATTGATTGATTGATTGATTGATTGATTGATTGATTGATTGATTGATTGATTGATTGATTGATTGATTGATTGATTGATTGATTGATTGATTGATTGATTGATTGATTGATTGATTGATTGATTGATTGATTGATTGATTGATTGATTGATTGATTGATTGATTGATTGATTGATTGATTGATTGATTGATTGATTGATTGATTGATTGATTGATTGATTGATTGATTGATTGATTGATTGATTGATTGATTGATTGATTGATTGATTGATTGGAAATGTTTGGATGTCTTGTTGGTACATTAGAAATTGCAAGCCATATCAAATTTTTCTCTTAAATGAAATGAATCAGATTAATGTCTGTGTATCTATAAACTATGCATTCATGTGCCAAATAAAACCAATATCATCACTATTTTTTAGTACTTAATAATAATAAATAATAATATTATTATTATTAGCGTTTATTTATTTATTATTATTATCATTTGTTATTATTGTTATTTGCCTTAATCAGAGAGCTGTCAGATTGTCAAGTTCTTATATTCTAACATTCGAGTATAAGTTAGCACTAGTTAATAAATAATAATAATAATAAAATAATAAACAATGATAATAATATTAAAAATAATAATAATGACAGAATAATAATAATAATAAATTACGATCACTATCATAACGATCGTAATTATGATGATGATGATGGTTAGATTGTAAATTAAATAAATGCAAGGCTGTGTGTGTGTATGTTATATTCTTAAAAATCTTTGTTAGTCAATTAATAAAAAATAATAATAATAAAATAATAATGATAATAAAATAATAATAATAAAAAAATAATAATAATAAAATAATAATAATAATAAAATAAAAATAATTACGATCGTTTTAATGGAAGTTTAAAAATGCTATATATAAACCTTTCTGATGTTTTGAGTTTCAGCACCATAGAAGCTCAGTGATTTGATTTTATTTATAATTAAAAGATTTATTAAAATTACAACAACTACTACTATCAATACTGCTACTACTACTACTGTTGCTGCTGCTACTTCTGCTACTACCACTACTACTGCTGCTGCTGCTACTAATACTACTTCTACTACAGCTACCACTATTACTACTACTACTAGCAATATTGAATACGACGATAATGACGTCACGAATGAAAATGACGTCAGAGAGGGTCTTACTGATTGTCATTTTTACTTTGTTGTGCTCGGCTATCGCGCAGACGAAAAGATTGAGACATCACGGTAAGTTGGGGTTTAATAATTTTTTTTGAATATTATTATTAAAACCAATATCCAATATTGTTGTTATTATTATTATTGTTGTTATTATTATTAAATGTTTTTTACTTCGTAGGCCCGCCATATATAAAAGATCCAAACATGCAGTTGCGCGTAACAGAGCTGGGCAAATCGATTAAACTCGAATGTCCCATAGAGACCACTCCTCACCACAGCACTTTTATCATATGGGAGAAACGGATAGATACGGATAATAACGATAAAAGACCGATGTTTCACAAAGAAACATCGTCGATATTGTCGGATAGCGTTTACCGAGCCATCAAGCCATCACTTATTAGGGATGGGCTGATGTTGCATGTTAAGAAAGCAAGGCTAAGAGATGCTGGCATTTACCGGTGTACGATCATTAACGGTTTCGGTTCCGCTTCGGCACAGTTTCGCGTCGTTGTTGTCACCTTTGAAGACGGGAGGAATGTGAAAATGACCGGAAATGAAATGACTGAAAATTCTCGTGAAGCGATAGCGTTGATGATAACAACAACAAGGACGACGATGACGAATTATATAACTTTCGCTATTGGCAATGATTTTAATAAAAGTATCACTGCTGATGGAGAACAGCAGCATCGCAATTTAAGTTTAAACACAAGTCTGATTGATGAGCCATCGTCACAGTCATCATCATCATCATTTCGATCACCATATTCTTGGTCATCATCATCCTCTTCTTGGTCATCATCATCATCTTCTTGGTCATCATCATCTTGGTCATCATCATCTTGGTCATCATCATCAATAACATCCGGAGAACAAACATCATCATCGTCGTCATCACCATCGTCGCCATCAGAAGCAACGAGGGTTCCTTCCAACATTAACCGGATGGACATCAAATGGACACTGGCTATTGCTTTCGGCTTCATCCTATTGGCTGGCTTGTTCATCTTGTCAACCTACGTCATCAACAAACGAAAAGGGGCGCGAGGTTCAGTCCGGTTGGAGAATGATGATGTAGCGCGCAATTACTTCACCGCCTTAGCAGCAATATACAGACCTGCAAACAAAGGGAATGTTTTTCTGCAAACAACAGCAACGATGACAATGAAATCATCGCATACAATCGATAACATGCAACCGAGATGTCATCATGTCTATAGATCCACGAGTGATAACGAATACCGAGTAGTTACGACTCCACGAAATCCGGTCCGTGCAGATTATCGTCACAACTCTAAAGGCCAGTTATTCGATACAAATCGACAAATACCGATAAATCGACCCATCTCTAGATTTTATCAGCAAAACAATCCACATAATCGTTTCAACTTTAATTCACGAATAAATCCACAGTTTCATCCAAACCGACAAATCACAAACCACCCCACACATCACGTCCCTGTTAATCAGCACATCCCTAATTACGTCATCCCTAATTACTACAAAAACCCAGAAAACTTCGACGCCTACTTCACAAACGCCATCAGCAGACCATCATCTACGTTCAATAGCAAAAAAGCAAAGATGGCTTACACGTTAAAAGGCTTTATGTCAACTTTAAACAACAACCACAACTTTGGAAGTAGTAGTGGCGGTGGTAGCAGTAGTAGCAGCAGTAGTAGTAGTAGTGATTATGCTAAAATTAGGGATGGTGATGGTTACGATTATATTGAGCCTGTCCGTAGTGATTTTGAATATATCCGACCAAGAATTTTTAAACCGAGAGGCAGTTTTGGCGACCACATCAACTACAACAGCCACCACCACCTCAACTACAACAACCACCGCAACCACTACTACAACAACGTCAGCTACTACAACCACCAAACCAGCGGCGATTGCCACAATTACATTGACGATAGGAGCAAGAATTTGATTGGACGACAATCATATCAGTCACCTTATAACAAGCAAGGTGATTGGTTGGCCATCGCTTAATCTGACCTAGTTTCTTGACCTCGGCTGAACCTTCAATTATTGTTCATTTCTTGAAAGAAATGATGATGATGATGAAGAAGATGAAGAAGCAGATGAGGGTGATGATGAAGAAGATGAAGAAGCAGATGAGGGTGATGATGAAGAAGATGAAGAAGCAGATGAGGGTGATGATGAAGAAGATGAAGAAGCAGATGAGGGTGATGATGAAGAAGATGAAGAAGCAGATGAGGGTGATGATGAAGAAGATGTTTGTTATTGATATTCTATTGATATTCTTGCATATTAATATTCTTGCCATTGAATGTCTGGAAGATAAAATATAGAGATCCGATTCTTTGATTAAACTAGTAGATTTAGTGTTAAACAAATGAGTGATTGAGTGGATGAATGAATGAATGAAAGGATGAATGAATGAATGAATGAATGAATGAAGGAACGAACGAACGAACAATGCGAAGAGAAAAATTAATGAAAAATATAAATGATAGACGGAAGGAATGAACGAACAAATGACAAACTAAAACGAATAAAAGAATAATTTACTGAAAAAAAACAAAAACCAACAAATTAATTGCAATTTAAATTAAAAATGGCTTCAAATGGAACTTCTACATAACATAGCATATTGCCTGGATTGAGAAGGATGCATTCTAATTAACTGGTCTTGTTAATATTCATTTAACACTCACTTTTTCAACTTCTCTATGTCTCTCTCTCTCTCTCTCTCTCTCTCTCTCTCTTTATCTCTTTATTGTTGTCTCTCTTTAATTCACTCGGTCCATCTTCCGTTTTAGCCCCGTTCTCTATAATTATCTCTCGCATTCCTTCTATCTTTCATATCATTTTCTTTCATTTTTATACTGACTTCTTCTTCTCTCTCTCTCTCTCTTTCTCTCTCTTTCTCTAAAGAATGAACGAACGAATGAAAGAATGAATTGATGAATGGCAGCTACAACATCAGTGACTGAAAAGTGCAATCTATTGATTATATGTGTCTTTGTAAGCAGTAACATCAACAACAACAATAACAACAACAACATTAGAAAATACAATCTCAGTTATTCAATACAACTACCTGATTTCAAACGATACCTAGAATGAAATCTAAACAACTTGCATATAAACATACGCACATTACTACGTAAATACACACGCAGACACACACACACAAATATATATATATATATATATATTTAAATATATATATATATATATATATATACACATGTATTTAGACACACGTAACACTAGTCTATTCAATATCATTGTATTGGTTACTCATTAATTGCCATTATGATGCACACTCACTCACTCACTCTCTCTTACACACACATACACACACACACACACACTTGTTTATTTATATCTATATATAAGAGCTGATCACAAGTATTTTAAAGTATTAGATTAGGACATAAAAAGATCGTCTTTTTGCCATATAGAACAAAGCAGATAAATATATATTTATATTTTATTTTAAACAATAATAATCAATATAATGTTTAAAGCGTTGAAAAATTGATTAAAATTAATTCAAAGTATAAATTATAGAAGAAGGTAATGATATATTATTTTAATTTTTTTTAATTAATTATTTATTTACATCTGTCTGTATGTATGTCTGTCTGCATGTGTGTATGTCTGTCTGTATGTACGTATTATTATTATTACTAGTGAATTTATGTTCTAGTGCCCTTAAAAACTTCTCAAAGGCGCTGCTCAAGTAACATGGATTAATTCATAAAAGGGATGGGTTTAGAGTTTTTTACGGATTTGTTGAAGAGTTGATCCGGGCTGACGAAGATGGCGTGGCAAATTGTTCCAGACTGTTGGAGCAGGGACGGAAAAATTCCTGTTTCCTGTTTTTGGTAGCGATGGAAGATCCTGATAATCAGAATGTTTCTGGGGACGTTGAGCAAGTGTGAACCCATGCAAACACTCGTCAGACAGACAGGTAACTCGGACTGAGACTATTCAGACATTTGAATACCAGGATGGCAATTTTGGATTTTTTTCTTTGCCCAACAGTCAGCCAGTGCAGGTTCAATAGACTATGACTCACACGGTCAAACTTTAATCCACCAGTATATATTTTAGCTGCTCGATTTTGAATTGGAAGTTCCATAAAAAATACTATTGCAGTAGTCTAGCTTGGAATGAACGTTTCAGTGTATCTTCATCAGGCGAACTTCTGAGCCTTCGTAGATGAAATGAACACTCCTTGTTCAACTTTTTGACACGGTTATACATATACATATTTTGATGGAACAGACTCGTCGTCAAGCCTGGTGCCCACAGAGGTGTTGGGCCACGATCTCACGATGGCCAACAAACGAGCGGTGGAAAAGTCGTCAGCGCATGAAGACAACAAATTTTGAAAGATTTTTTTTATATTCTTCGTTCAAAATTTGGACGTGCGTACGGTCCCTCGGGGCGGACACTGGGGGAAGAATATCGCGGCAACGAAAAAACCGGTGGAGCAGGGAAGACTGCAGGTCGAGAGTGGCAGCGGCAGAAGAATTATAAACAACGGGAGCCAGCTGAACCAAGCTAAGCAACCCCAGCCCACCAAATCGCACCGGCAGCTGAGCCTGGGACCAACCACTGTCGGTCACTTGAACATTGCAAATCGACGACAGGGCGGTGCGCAGGGCTCCGTCAAATGCGCCCAATTTAAAAGGGTCAATGTGTTTGGATGTACGCAGGAAGTACATCAATTTGGGCAAACTGAGGGCATTGCGGATAATAGTCAAGGCATCATGGGCCGAAAGACAGGAAACACGACCCAGGGCGAATTTAAGCTCAGAGTGGGGCCGTCCGAAGCAATGATGATATCATCCAGATAAGCGCAAACGAAAGTGGACGAAGAAGCTTTCTCTAAGAGTGGATGAAGAGTTAGTGCGAACAGCAAAGGACCAAGGGGATCACCCTGCTGTACCCCCTCGGACGATTCTACAACCCAAGAGTGGTAGCCAAGGGAAGAGACTCCGCCATAGGCAGAATGGCAAAAATTATAGATATTGGGGCAAAAAAGTTTGACAGCCTCCAACATCGAGTCTCTTCTCAAGGCATTGAAAGCATTTTTAAAGTCCAGTTTCAGAAACCCCTATTGATCGGGGAGGTCGGTGACCAATCTTCGAACCGCATGAACCTCAGCGCCACCCTTAATCCCGACACCCAACTGAGTCGGGTAGAATTTGGTCTTGAGTTCGACCACGACCAGGGCCAAGGCACATTTGCCGGCCAACCTCCTCCAAACGTTCCCGACCGCAATCGGTCTGACCCCTCCGTCTTTCTTATTTAAAGCTATTAGCCGGCCTCCAAAAAAGAACCGGCGGACGGAGAGTGGGCAAGCTCCAGATAGGATCAAATTAATGAATTGGGTTAAGGAGTTCAGTGTGTCGTCGATTGGCAAGGGGCCTGAAAAAACATCCTTAAGGTGCTGGGGTCGTAGGCCATCCAGGCCTCCAGAAGAACCGTTTTTGAACGATTTAACGGCCCTCAGCACCTCGGCGGGAGAAACGCAACCAGCCGTTGGTGTCAATGCGGGAAAGACCCGCCTGTCCACCGAAATTTTTGGGTGGATGGAACATAATTTATCGAGGGTGGCCGGCGAGCTCTCCGCCGGGCCCTCCGGCGAACAGACAAGTCTGACACCCGAGGACAGGTTTCCCTGTTCAATACAAGATGACAGCGTTGATCCACCGATCGGGGTTGTGCTTTTGTGATTTGGCATTATTGAACCCATCAAAGCACAGTACCAGGGTTTCAAGACCAATAGTTGAATATTCGCTTAGACGCTTTTGACCAGATTGCCCTGGTTGACCCGGCGACCCCCTCTGGAAGTCTTCTGTAAGACGTACGTATGTATGTATGTATGTATGTTAAAACCAAATCATTGACGAATGACACCAAAAGCCAAGCGTCTGACTAAATTTGATTTTATTTGCTATAACGTCACTCAACCCCGTCGGCATTCAACTCCACATTTTCCAACACACAGACGCGCAAAAACCGCTGCAGGTAGCTGCAGGTAGCGAAATACTAAAAATGTGGAAGCCGACACGAGCTGAGCGAAATGTATGTATGTATGTATATATGTATGTATGTATGTTTGTACGTGTATGTATACATTCAGTTAATAATTATAACATACACATTGAAATTGGAAAGAACTAGATGAATTTAGTAAATTTCTTACATTCCAAAGTTGTTGGTCATTTGTTGTTTATAATTATAGATACTTTATTATGAGAGTTATAATTATATTATTATTATTATTATTATTATTATTATTATTATTATTATTATGATCGTCGTCGTCTTCATCGTCGTCATCATCAGCATCATTACCATATACTATAACTAAAATAATTAATTCTTTCTCGTCTGACTAATTCTCCATCAGCTGTTTAATGTTTAATCAGTCATTAGTCTTTCCAGTCTAAAATTCGCAGTTTGTTTATTAATATAATTATTGTTGTTGTTATTATTATCACTTGTTATTATTTATCATTGATATTACAGTATAATATCCATCCATCCATCCATCCATCCATCTATCCATCCATCCATCCATCCATCCATCCATCCATCCATCCATCCATCCATCCATCCATCCATCCATACATCCATCCATCCATCCATCCATCCATCCATCCATCCATCCATTCATCCATCCATTCATCCATCCATCCATCCAACCATCCATCCATCCATCCAATCCTTACAGGCATAATCATTCCACACGTCTATTGACTTAATTACCTTGACCCAATTTTCGTGACCCATTCAATTTGACCTACTTTGTGACCTCGGTGACCTCACCTCTTAATGATGGGCGACAATCAAATTAAAAAGGATATCGTCTGGCTTATGAACGGAAGCGATGGAACGGTGAGTATTAGTATAGTACTACCAAGTAATTGTCTTAGTAAGAGTAGTAGCGATAGATGCAGCAGTAGCATTTGTAGTAGTTGTTGTCGCAGCATGTATAATTCGTTATTTATTGATTAAACAAACAAAAAACGACAATTGGATCAACGATAATTTTTCAATAGCTATTTATCTATCCAACTAACTGACCAACCAACCAGCCAACAACCAACCAATCAACAACCAACCAATCAACCAACCAACCAATCAACAACCAACCAATCAACCAACCAACCAATCAGAAAAAACAATGCCTTGTCACGTTGTACGGCCCCAGTCAGTCAACTGAATCCAGGTTGGAATGGGTAGAGCTTGAGAATCACATGTTGGATGTTTCATCTGGCCTAGAACCGTACACAACAACGCGCCTAACAATCTTTCTAGTTGACGAAGTCAAAAAAATCGAAGAACTTAGAATCAAAAAACCGCATGAAGGGTTAAAGTTCGTGGTCCAGATTACTCTAAGTATGGAGAGGCCAAATTTGGATTTATTTTTCCCACAAAAAGAAGAAGCATCTATTTGGGCCAGTGCGATTAAGCGGGCGAAAATTTCTGGTGAAAATTGTAGGAAGAAATTTGAAAAACATCAAAAGACTCTTGAGAAGAAGAATGGCTTGAAATTCGGTGCAAAGAATCCGGTTGGGGACGAATATGGCGAAGTCGGTGGAGCCGATGTTAATGCTGTCGATAATGGTTCGTGTTTGCTTGGCAGATGATTTCTTATTTTTCCCCTGTTGTTTGTGCGGTAGTTACCTTTAAGAACGATGTGTTTTTTTTATCACATGTTTGCTTATTTGTCACTATTCAGTCGAATTTCTAAAGTTTTCATAATTATATTATTGTTATTAATTAATAATCAACAACAATAATTATTATTAATTAATAATTAATAACAATAATATAATTATAAAAATTCTCTTTTAAATAAATATATAATTATTAATTCACTCTTAAATATATTATTATTAACTCTCTCTCAAATAAATATCAGAGTTGTCAATACACAGCTCACGTAAATACGCGTGCAATATTATAACAATCATAATATTATAATAATTATATTATATTATTATAATTACAATATTACAATTCTCCCTATTTTCAGTAACTGGTTTTGAAGTGGAGGTTGATTCGACAGCCGCTGCAATACGAAACGATGTAGTCGGCTGTGGCTGTGTGTTGCTGCTAACAAAACAACACGTCACTCTGCACCAGAGGGAGAAGAAAGTTATCATCTCCTGGAAATACCAGTACGTACTGTCGTTGTTATCATTTTTAATGGAAGAAAAAGTCTCCCAATGTGTACTTTACGCCTGTCAGTTGTGTTATTATCTGAAAGATAATTTCATAATTTTATAACTGCAACTTTAATAGTAACAATCTAACTCATTAACGTACGACATCCTGTTTTTCATTTTTCGGTTCGTTTGGTTCATAATTATTATTTAATTGTATTTATATTAAACTATTATTATTATATTGTTATTATTATTGTTATTATTGTTATTATTATTAATATTCAATTAAAACTTCCTGAATCTAAAATTAAATTTTTAAGCTCATGCTAGCGTGTGAACGTTGTCGTATCATCTTTTGTATTAGAATAATCTATTATTAATATTATTATAGTCATTATTATAGTCATTATTATTATTATTGTTGTTGTTATTATTATTATTGTTATTATTATTGTTGTTGTTGTTGCTGTTCTTATTTTAATTAATTTAGTTCCACCTAATTTTTACTCAAACAGACACGTGCGCCGTTTCGGCTACTCTCAAACGACCTTCACCTTGGAAGGGGGCACGAGGTCGGGGGTCAAAGGTCAAGGACTTTTCATCTTCAGAAAATGCATGGGTAAACTAATTCGCAAAACTATAGAGCAGCGGATAAAGGTATTAACTTCTCAACTAAATAGTTGCAGCACTTCTAGTCTCGATAAGTTGGGTGATTATTTGGAAGAAGGCGATTTGGATAACATTTACAGTGGAGTAAACGTTCACAAAATGACCGACCAGATTTCTAACGCTAGTGATGAAGTATTGAGGTCTGATGATTACGAGCATAATTTACATTGCTACGACCTCCCTTGTACAGTGAACATCACAGCAAAGTCGCCAACCTCTCCTACTACTACTACTAAATGTCCTCTATTGCCTAATAAACGCTCGTACATGCATCTAAATAGTACGGTTAATGAAGCATCTCAATCTAAAAATGAAAGTTTTGAAGCGCTAGCGAAAAGTTTGAAAGAGCAGCGTTTGAATGAAACTGCGATGGATGATGACACGAATTCATATTCAATCGACATCATTCCTAGACCTAAAATTCTGCCTAAAAAAGTTTCAAAGCAGACGAAATCAGTCAGTGAAAACGTAGACAACAGCAGCAGTACACTTAGAAAAAATTTACCAGACTGCGCGATGAATCCCCCTCCGAAGAAACCTCCAAGAACCGCAGATCCGAAAATGTCAGACATAGTAAAAATGTTATCTTCAGATAAAAAAGAATCCCCAGCAACGAAGCCAGGGTTCAACCAATCAAACGAAGCCTTCTACAGTTCTCTCAATTTTCTACCCGACGTAGCCCAACAAACCGTTGACATCAAAGGGACAAATCCGAATGGGCCGAGCCATGATCTATCTAATTTCTTAGAATCTGGTAACATTTATGGGGAGGCGATGCTGAAGCGTGAAGTAAAACAAGCCATAGTGCAACAAATTTGCACGGACGATGCCCTCTACGCCGAGGCGAACTCTAAAGATCGAATAAAGAATAACTTCCCCAAGGGTAAACTCTTCAAAAAGAAGTAATATTCAACTGGAAATTTAATGAAATGTTATTATTTTTTTAGGTGTTTATTGCACTTGAATGTATTTTTTTTATTTCATATTATTTTTTCATTTCTCGCTCAACTTATTCCTTAATTTTTTTATACTACTTACCATTACATTGACCATCTTTATAGTATAAATGCTTCAAAATCGGTTACATTTTGTAATAATTACACTTACTTTGGTAACGATGATAAGAATTTTATTGGAAGAATTTATATGTCACGAACACACTCACGTCCACACACACACACACACACACACACACACACACACACACACACACACACACACACACACACACACACACACACACACACACATCACACACGGTTATAGCTTTTTAACTTTATATTATCATAAAAAATCAGAATTTGTTCGTCTTTATATCTAATAAAAATTATTCCTAATGTATTTGAATTTAATATTAGATCGATTTTCAGACGATTCCGATCTATCTCGAATGAAAATAAACCGATAACGATACTATCATATAATGGAGTACCATGGTCATACATATATATATATATATAAATATATACAGAATATAACATTATATAACATAGAATATATATATAATGTTATATTCAATATATATATATATATATATAGAATATATGTTATATTAAATATATATGACTTTATATAAATAACCATAGTATAAATATTCTAACTATGTTTAAATGTCTGCTTAAAAGTAAACTTACTCTACAATGTTTACATCAGTTATAAAATTTGAATTAATAGTTTCTGCCAAATTTAAGTTTAATTAGGGAATAATAATTTTAATTTCACAATTTATTTTTAAATATTTAGTAATAAAAAATGAATTGGGAAATTTTTTGCGGTAAAAACATTAAAAATTTCACAGTGTGGGATAACCATGGTAAAAACCTCAGTCCATGCTTCACTAATTTAACTTTCTCCATCATACCCCACTTATTTTTGCTCATTGTGAGCGTTTATCACTCCGGAAGACATCAATTAACACGATTGAGGGGTCCAGTTAGGACTCACCCAGCCCTAATTGTTAGAGTATTGTGCTGCATTTGTGTGGTTCTGTTGACAACCTTTGTTTTCGCCATCGAATATGCCTATTTTAGGCTCTTACCAGCGTTAATAATAATAGTTAGGCTTTTTGTGATGTTGTTTGCCTGGATGAGTCATGTTATATTTGTTTGGCGTCTGCATAGATTCTATAATTTGCCGTTGAGAGGTCACTGGACAGTCTTGGTTGGCTATCTATTAATAGTAACTTGTCACATGGTTATTTTTGGCTCCACCCTAACAAGTAGAATTGAAAACTTGAAAATTGTTAATATATTTGAAGAGATTTTTGTTTATTCGATTATGGGCTGCCATTTAGTTTATGCAACAACGTTGATTGCCAAGAAGAGACCAGATACTTACCCGTTATTTTACACTAATGCCGATTTAAGCTGGTCACCGATACATTCGACAGCTTCTACAACGTCATCATCAACCGGCCAGGGCACTGGACCCCACGTTGAACCGTGCCCTGAAGATTTCAGCTGGATATTTTCTAGATTATTCTTCTGCTGGGTTAATGGCTTGATGAGAAAAGGTTACAGATTGGAGATAAAAAGTATAAATGATGTTTTTGATCTGCCTAATTCACTGAAAACTAAAAATGTTTTAGAGAAATTTAATGAGAAAATAAAAAATATAACCCCAAATCAACCGACCAGTCAAAGTCAATCATCTAACTTTTCAATCAGTCAACCAAATAACTCCTTATATCAATCACATTTTTTTCATCAGCATAGAAATAATAACAACACAGATACTACTACTACTAATTATAACAGCAGAAGAATTTATTTGTTATCATCTCTATTGAGAGTTTTTGGTTGTGAGTATTTTTCGTTGGGGATCTTGAAGCTGCTCTCAGATTTATGCTCTTTGGCCGGGCCCGTTCTGTTAAACTTTCTGATTGTCTATCTTAGTGAAAATGTGAGTTAGTGTTTTTCAGGAATGATGATGATGATTGTAATGAGGATGGATGAACTTTTAATGAACACAGCTAAGGTTATTGATATTAATTTATTTATTGTTTGCTAAAGGTTAAAGATTAGTTTCTCTCTCTCTCTCTCTCTCTCTCTCTCTCTCTCTCTCTCTCTCTCTCTCTCTCTCTCTCTCTCGCTCGCTTCAGAGGTCTCAACGACAAGCACACACAGCGTATATGAATACGCGTGAAAACCTCGCATTACACATTGCATATGATAGGCAGGGATCTCTATGTATGGAACCCAGTCACTACAGCAGCAAGACCAGGTGCCTTTAACCATTTAGCTAAGATAGTAGCAGCATACTACTTCAGTTGTTTGTTTATGTATTCTCTCTCTCTCTCGCTCTCTCTTTCTCGCTTTCTCTCTATATATTTTCATATATGTATATTGTGTATACATTTAAAATAGGACCCAAATAAAGAGGAATCCCGTTGGCGTGGTTATTTATACTGCACATCCCTAATTGTGACGTCATTCTTGGGATCAGTGATGTGCAATTACTTTGACTATCTTCAGAATATAGTATCTTTGAAGTTTAGGGCTTGTATTATTGACTGTATCTACAGAAAGATACTATATACCTCACTGGTTAGAAATTTTTTAAATAAAAAAAATTGATTAACGAATGAATGAGTGAATGTTTGAATGAATAAATGAATGAGTGAATGTTTTAATGAATTAATGGACGAATAATTGAATGACTTCATGAACGTCTGAATGAATAAATGAAGAAACCAGCGAAAGAATGAAAGAAAGAATTAAATGTACAAATTGATTAAAATAAATTAATGAATGAATCAATGAATTAATAGACGAACAAATCTATAAACGAATCAGTGATTGAACGAAACAAACGAACGAACGAATAAATGAATGAATGAACGAATAAATGAATGAATGAGTGCATTAGTGAATTAATGCATTTTTATTACTATATAGGCCTATCTGTATGGGACATTTAACACAGGGAAAATAATAAACCTCATGAGTACTGATGTAGATAGGGTGGTTGGGTTTTGTTCCAGTTTTCATCAATTCTGGAGTCTACCCCTTCAAGTTAGTTGATCGATTGATTGGCTGGTTGGTTGGTTGATTGATTGTTTTTTATTACTATTTTGATATTATTTTATAGTTAAAAATAATTAAAAAAATTATGAATAATTATGAATAATTAAGGTCGGTATCGCTTTGTACCTCTTGTACCTACAAGTGGGTGTGTCCTTCTTGGCCGGGGTCCTCTTTGCAGTACTCCTCATACCCCTGAACAAATGGGTGGCCGTCAAAATTGGCCAACTCAGTCAGCTGATGATGAAGCAGAAGGATGCTAGAATTAAGGTTGCTGCTGCTGCTGCTGCTGTTGTGGATGATGGTTGTGATAATGATGATGGTTGTGATGATGATGATGTGATGATGATGATGATGGTGGTGGTGGCTGTGATGATGATGGTGGTGGTGGTGGTGGCTGTGATGATGATGGTGATGATGATAGTAGTGGTGGTGATGGTGACGTCATTCATTTCGTGGACGCGTTTTTTAATTGGAATACTAATTTTGTTCGTAATCTCTGCCGACAGTTTGTAAATGAATCGATGCTAGGAATTCGAGTGGTGAAGTTTTTTGCATGGGAAGCCAAGTTCACGGAGATAATTCAAAGATTACGTAGCGCTGAACTCTTGACGTTGAAGAAGAGAAAGTATTTAGATGCTTTGTGTGTTTTTTTCTGGGCGACCACGCCCATCGCTATTTCTATCTTTACCTTCCTGACGTATGTTTATCTCGGGAATTCCCTGACTGCTGCCAAGGTTGGCCCATAAATTCAAAATTCACTTTCGTTTTCATGTGTGGCTGTTGAAAGTTTAATGTAATATGAAATTTTGACGCTGATTCATCGTTATTATCATTATTATTGTTGTTGTTTTTGTTATTATTATTATTCACAGGTCTTCACGAGTATATCACTTTTTGCCCTCTTGATAACCCCACTGAATGCCTTCCCTTGGGTCATTAACGGCCTGATGGAGGCGTGGGTCTCCATGAGACGAGTTCAAAGGTTACTCGATATTGAGCTAACTTCCGGAATGAATTATGTTAATGAGGAGGGCTATCTTAACGAGGATGGTTATGCTAATCAGGGCAGGAGGAGTTTATCAGCTGCGGGTTTGTTTTGTGTGATTGTGATTGGTGGCGATTTTTCGGCTGGATGGTTCTGATTTGTTGGTTTGTTTTGAATGGGCTGGTTGTGATTGGTCGGTTGCGATTCCTTTGGCTGATTGGTTTGCTGATTGCTGATGATATGATGATGAGGAAGTTGATACATGACGATAATGATGATGATGATGACGATGATGATGATTTTGTCATCATTCAGATTACCTGGCTTTTCTTCCTCCTCCATCGTTATCATCACCACCACCAGCGCCGCAGCAACAGCAGCCACCACCGCCACTACCACCATCGTCGTTTTCAGTAGCGTCGCCATCATCATCGTCGCCACCACAGGCGACAAAAGTTGTTGAATTAAAAAATGCTTCTTTCACCTGGAGTAATGCTAAACCGCCTGCCGGCCGTGATGATACCGATAACGATGATGATTATAGAACTGGTGATGATGATGGTCCTAGAACTGGTGATGATGATGATCCACTTATAGATAATAATGATGATGATAATGATGGTCCTGTATCGAATAATGTTAACAATGATGACGAGGAGTTACTCAGTAACCATCGGGGTGATGATGATGGTAGAAATCATTGTCGTCGTTATCGTCGTCGTAATGATAATGATGACAATGATGATGATGAGGATGTTGGTTATGATGGAAGAGGTTCCAGAAAATACCTTGCAACACTGAAGAATATCAATCTAACCGTGAAAAAGGTCAGTGATTGAGATGATGACGAAGATGATGATGACGAAGATGATGATGGCGAAGATGATGATGGCGATGATAATAGTCCCAATCTCAACCATCGCAGGGAACCTTTGTTGGGGTGATCGGCGAAGTTGGTAGCGGAAAATCATCACTACTGCAAGCTATCTTAGGAGAAATGAAACTCCTGGGAAATACCGACAGTATAAAAATAAACTTACCCGGAAGTTTCGACGGAAATCCCGGATTTTCCGGTTTTGGTTTCGGAGACGATGTTAGACGTTACAATGGGTTTAGTTACTATTCTCAAGAACCTTTCATACAGAAAGGTGCTGATGATGATCGGGATAGTGATGATGATAATGATGTGATAAAAATGATAATGGTGGTGATATGATGGCAATGATTGTGATGATGACGATGATGGTGATGATAATGATGGTGGTGATGTGATGATGATGATGTTGATGTGATAATGATGATAATGATAGTGGTGATGATAACAATCACGTAGGGACGATAAGGAGTAACATCCTGTTTGGTCTTCCGTACAATGAGGATTTCTACAATAGAGTTGTATACGCCTGTGCACTGCTTCCTGATTTCAAGGTCGTCATCATCACCACCATCATCATCACCACCATCATCATCATTATCATCGTCACCATCATCGTCATCATCATCATAATCATCAAAGGAATTGCCCAAAGGCGACAAAACGTCAGTGGGTGAGAACGGTTCGACCTTGAGTGGAGGTCAAAGGTCAAGGGTCAGCCTTGCAAGGGCCGTCTATCAGGTATTTGATGGTGATTGGCCGGTTGTTTTAGTCTAAATGTCCAATCAGATGAGGATATTATTATTCGTATTAACCGCATGGTATTGTTAATAATCGTTACTCTTTCATCAACCAATCAGAATCGTCCTCTCTTCCTATTGGATGATCCGTACGCTTCTGTTGACCCTCACGTTGCCCAGCACATTCACCGCGCATGCCTAATG